TGAGTTGAGAGTGCTGTCCAGAGCGGTCACAATGGAGCACTCTGGGATAGCTCCCGGAGGCCAATACCATCGAATTGTGTCCACAGTACCCCAAATTTCAGCCGGCAACGTCGATTTAAGCGCTAATCCACTTGTCAGGGGTGGAGTAAGGAAATCGATTTTAAGAGCCCTTTAAGTCGAAATAAAGGGCTTCATTGTGTGGCCGGGTGCAGGTTTACATCGATTTAACGCTGCTAAATTCGACCTAAAGTCCTAGTGTAGACCAGGGCTAAGAGTGCATAAACTGTGTTGTCCTGGTGCCTAACCCATCAGGTCATAGAGGGTGGCTTTTTCCTACCCTTCAAAAACTGGTGTTTTAGTTTACTGGAGATCTTCTAGCAGCTACATCACTGCTGTGATCATTGCCAATACCACGCCATGCGTTAGAGAGCTGTGGTATCCTAACAGCCTTGTGAAAACAAACAAGCAACCTGCCTTCACAACTAATGCAGCCGTCACACATAGTGACCTCTGAGCTCACTCACAAACCAAAGCTTTCTATGGAGTAGGAAAAGCTCTTGTTTAACCATGCATGCAAATAAGGACTAAAAAGGGCTGAGCATCTGAAACTCCCACTGATAGGAAGAAGGATGGTCATGTAAGGCACTAACAGGCACTCAGAAGAACCGTTCCCAGCCCTGCCACAGACTGCGGCTGTGACTTTGGGAAGGTCATTTAATCTGTCTCTCACATTCTAATCAGTTTTTTTTTAAAAAAAGACACTTATTTCTGTGCCTAAGGGTGCTGTGGTATTGAATCCATAAATATTTTGGGAGGTGCTCTGCTGATGCTTAGAAAGATAGCTGTAGGTCAGACAGATCTGGCAACGTCCTGCCACATCCTCAAGAGACATTACTGAATTAAGGTTAAGTATCTTTGGGGTCCATTGTATTAAATGAATGGTTTATGTATTATTATGGGCCTGGATTGTATGTTACCACTCTAGGTGGGAGATGTGATGTGAGGCAGAGGGTTCAAAGGACTATATTGAAATTGTGCCAGACAAGAATGGACTTGTGGGACAATAAATGTTAAATGGATTTCCTGGGGAATACCTAGGGAGAGGTTATTGCAAATTCCCCAGCTCTGGTTACACAAGAACTCGGCCTCTTGAAGTCATGCTCTGAGGAGAGGGTGATTGTCTGCTGATCACCTAATCCTGGAGGCTCACAATCAAAGGTTCAAGCTCTGTTAATGGAAGACTGAGCTATTCATTGTCCGTAGCAGATTACCACATGGGCTGATGGGGCCTGTGCCCACGGGCCCTGGCCAATTTGGGAGCCCCCGCTGGCGGAACTCTGGACCCGCCGCCCTGCTCCTCCTCTTCCCCTGAGGTCCCACCCCCCTGGCCAGGCCAGATACCAGAGCTGTGGTAGGGTGAACATATTCTCTTCCTCCCAACCCCCGTGCAGAGCTGGCCAAGCTGCTCTCCTTCTCCCTCTTTCTCCACAGAGCTGGCCCCTCAAGTCCCTCTCTCCCCCAAGTGGAACTTCTCCCTCCAACCCATCTCTCCTCTCCCCTCCCTTCTGTGAGGAGCTCCCCCTGCCCCAAGCCCCTCTCTCCCTTCCCTTCACCTCTTGCACAGAGCTGCCTCCCCCCGAGCCCTTCCGCCTGCCCCCACCATTTTACACACAGGTATAGTAAAACATACAGAGGTTAAGTAAATTGCCTACAGTCAAGCACAAAGTGAATCAGTTATCACTGCTAGTTAGTAGGGTTGCCAACCCTCCAAGATTGTCCTGGAGTCTCCAGGAATTAAAGATTAATCTTTAATTAAATGTCATGTGATGAAACCGCCCGGACTATGTTCAACCAAAATTGGCCACCCTGCTCGTTAGAGAACTCAAGAGTCCTGACTCCCAGTCTCCAACACTTACCAATAGACAATACTGTTTTAATAAAAAGCCTCGTGTCTCAGCTATTACAATATTTGGCACTTGGGCAGAGTTCCGTGGCATAATGCTGTATTATGTGTTCAGCTAGCTGCAGCTGTCCACACTCACTCACCTGAAACGCCAGGCTCCAAAACTACTGTCACAAGTATCAGCAGGGTTATTAATTCAAAACCAAACACTTTATTGAAAAGATGACAACTTTAAGATAGCCACATTTTTAGTGCATTGAACCATTTTTTTCATTCATATTTATTTCTGCGCTGCCTATCTTATATTAGTGTTTTAGATTCTGCCCTGAGCAACTTACAATCTAGTATTTTTCCAATAAATACGTAGCTTATATTTAGTGTTTTTAAACTACAAGCTGCTTTATAAAAGCTAAATAATTAATCCTCACTCCCTGCTGGGAGGTAAGTAAGTAAAAATTATTTTATGATTTAGAAACTCAACAACGCAAAGTTATGCAGCAAGAAAAGATCCCCTAGCAAGGAAAAGAACTCATGTTTCTGGATCCACAGCCAGTACCCAGACACTCTGACTACATCAGCTTCTCCAACCATTTGAAAAAGAAAATTTACATATTGTATCTAAGTTAGACAGGAACAATTGAAGTATTTTAAATTATTACATATTTTTCTTAATTAAACCAGTTGCAATAAGATAGTCAGTTCTAGCTTATTTAAAACAATAAAGGCAGTTGTCCTCAATACCTAGCTGGTTTCCTCTCACAGCTGATTTTTTAAAAAGACTTTTCCAGCCAACCCAATACATTACATATAAGCTATCTAGGCTTTTCTCTGCTCCTCTCTCACCAGATTCATTCCTTGCCTATTTGAATGGGACTTTTAGACTGCCAAAATTTCCCCTCTTTGAAATATGTACACCCACTGCTCCCTTCCTCCCTGTATTTGTAAACAGACCTTCCCTTGTAGGGGGCTCCCTGGCCCCCCCTATGTGGAGCTGCCCCGCTCCCGAGCCCCTTTTTAGTAAAATTGTCCCATTTGTTCTTGCCAACTGATGATGGACAATTGCTCAGTTTTGCAAAAAAAGTCAGAATATCCAGGGTAGGGCTTAAAAAGGGGACTGTCCTGGCCAAAACAGGGCATATAGTCACCCTAGACTGTGGTTAGAGCGGTCCAGGAAGCCTGGACAGCTCTGGGGAGCCCCGGACCCTCCACCTGCCCTGGTCAAGGAGCAAGGGTGCCAGAGAGCAGCCCCTGGCCCATGTTCCTGCCCCCCAGGGTGTGCGGTCCAGGACCGGTGCTCCCTACAGCAGCCCAGGCCCTCTGGGCAGCTCTTACCATGGCCTGGCTTCTGGCTAGGCAAGGTGTAGAGCCATAGTGAGACAGGGAGGAGCAGGGGGCCCCGTGGGGGTGTGTGTACGGGGCCCAAATGTTCTTTGTGGCTAGGGCCCCAATAAATCTTAATCCACCTCTGTTCATGGTGGGCATATCACAGGAGACAGTTCTGAACTTGTAAGCATGGGGGAACAGTTGTGGGTTTTGAAGGACTGACACCTACCAGAGCCAAGGTTTGGAGTTGGGATGACCCCTGCTAAGCTTTTTAGAATGCAGGTAGGTTCTTTATTGTTTTCTCTGTAACGCTTTCACCTCAAGTGTAAATGTGCTTGTTTGCAAAGACCTGCGTGGTAGCTTGTAACTGTGGGAAATACACTGGGCGTAGCCTCTGTAGATAAAGCAAAGCAAAGCACAGATGCTGGCCTTTCAAGCAATCTGGGTTGCTGGGGATATCACAGTGTAGACAGGGAACTGTGTAGCTTGGAAAAACCCCAGTGAGGAGGGAGAGACATGCAATTCTCTGGCCCAGAAGGCGACAGCTGGGAGCCTAAAACCAGATGATTTTGGTGAACTACAGCAGGGTAATATAGGGGCAGTTACCTGAATTATGACAGTGGGTACACAGCAGCTTTCAGGATTTGATCCAGAATTTTTAAACAAAATTCAAAAGAAAAAATGAAAATAAAAAAATCTGTGGTGTATCAACATGTGCCCTTTTCTATACATAAGACATACAGACACAACTGTGTGTTACATGAGAATGGCCATACTAGGTCAGACCAAAGGTGCATTTGGCCAAGTATCCTGTCTTCTGACAGTGGCCAACTCCAGGTGCCGAAGAGGGAATGAACAGACAGGTAATCATAAACTGATCCATCCCCTATTGCCCATTCCGAGCTTCTGGCAAACAGGCTAGAAACACTATCCCTGCCTATCCTGGCTAATAGCCAATGATGGACCTATCCTTCATGAATTTATCTAGTTCTTTTTTTAATCCTGCTATAGTCTTGGCCTTCACAACATCCTCTGGCAAAGAGTTCTACAGGTTGACTGTACATTGTGTGAAGAAATACTTTTTTTAGCTGCCTATTCTGCTGCCTATTAATTTCATTTGGTGACCCCTAATTCTTGTGTTATGAGTAAATAACATTTCCTTATTTACTTTCTCCACACCAGTCATGAATTTATAGACCTCAATCATATCCCCCCCAGTCATCTCTTTTCCAAGCTGAAAAGTCCCAGTTTTAAAACCCTTTCCTCAAACCACTAATCATTTTGTTGCCCTTTTCTGAACCTTTTCCAATTCCAATATATCTTTTTTGCGATGGGGCAACCACATCTACACGCAGTATTCAAGATGTGGGTGTACCATGGATTTATATAGAGGCAATGTGATATTTTCTGTCTTATTATCTATCCCTTTCTTAATGATGTCCAACAATCTGTTCGCTTTTTTGACTGCCGCTGCACATTGAGTGGATGTTTTCAGAGAACTATCCACAATGACTCCAAGATCTCTTTCTTGAGTGGTAACAGCTAATTTAGACCCCATCATTTTATACATATAGTTAGGATTATGTTTTCCAATGTGTATTACTTCACTTTTATCAACATTGAATTTCATCTGCCATTTTATTGCCCAGTCACCCAAGTTTTGTAAGATCCCTTTATAACTCTTCGCAGTGAAGTCTGCTTTGGACTTAACTATCTTGAGTAGTTTTGTATCATCAGCAAATTTTGCCACCTCACTGTTTACCTCTTTTTCCAGCTCATTTATGAATACGTTGAACAGTACCGGTCCCAGTACAGACCCCTGGGGGACACCAGCATTTACCTCTCTCCATTCTGAAAAATGACCATTGGAAGACATACTGATGAAATGGCACTATGAATAAAATGACTCCTTTGTGGAAGCCCTTTTCTTGGTATATTTCCATTACCATGGATGAGGTTGAGACTTTTTAAACTGTACTTTGAAATTCAGCTATTTAAAAAGGGCCTTTTTTTTTTTTATATAGGCACTGAATAATTTTGGAACCTATGGGTGGAGACCTAGATGCTTCAGATGCAGATGTGTTTAACCCTTCTATCTTGTGATTATTGGCAGCAAAAAGGGTCAGATTCAATATATTTTGGCTCCCTCTTGACAAAACTAAACTGCCTTAAGCCCTCACCCAGAAACCTGCAAAAACTAAACAGATGCCCTTATCAGACAGAACTTCCCCACTCCAAGACTGTTTACACTCAAATAAATCTTTACTGGGGAGAAGAAAACAGACAAACTTGGGGAAACACAGCAAGTGAGAGAGTGAGTGTGTGGCCCATGCCTGCTTGGTGTGGCACTCTATCGCCCTCTAGTGGTAGTTAGAACAGCTAGAGTTGATGAGTCTGCTAAAGCTTTGGCTATAAGAGAGATGTGTCTTTTAGCTCATACAATAGAAGCTCATGCATTAAGCTCCAGTGATCACAAGTTTGATCCTGGTTAACAATGACAGGGGCTGTCAGCATTACATATGTAAATTAAGCATAAAATACACCCTCCCCCAAGCAATTTTGGCAGCAGTCCATCTAACTCCCTTCCCCTGCTGGTGAGATTGTCCCACAGGTAATAGTCCCTTGGCCACACCACATTTACTCCTGGGGGACTTCTGTGCCAAAAAATTAAAAATTCGGCACACAATATTTTAAAATGCCGCATATTTCATTTGTCAAAACACCACAATATACCATAATCTCTTCAGTTTCAATTATTTTGGTAATTTATTTCAAAATACCTGTCAACAAGTATGTCAACATTACAGTCAACAACAACAACAAAAGATTCCCCCAGGAGTAGAGAGTTCAAGAAACTGCTATGACAACTCAGTTCCAGTTGGGGAGTGCTGGAGGGTGCTGTGTGGTGCCCCCCAGAGCCCAGACACCCACACCCCCCTCAGCCCAGCTGTGGGGCATTCCCAGAGCCCAGACACCCGGGACCCCTTCCTCCAGAGCCCAGCTGCAGGCCACCACCCCCAGTGCACACACTAGCACTGCCCTAGCCCAAAGCCTTTACTCCCCCCAGCTTATTTACTATCCCACTGGGGGACACTGTGTGGCCCTACCCTCCCTCACCCTTTGCCAGAGATGGGTCTCCTGGGCCCTCTCCTGTCCCCGAGTGGAAGATGATCAAAGCTGGGCAGCCACAGTGTTCAGAGCCTCCATCCACACCAGGCTGGGTGCTCCACTCACTGTGAGCTGGGCTCTGCAGAGTCCATCAGCCCCTAATGGCCACCAGCAGCACTGCAGCCCCAATTCGGGAGGGGGGGGGGGGAGGACACGACACACATGAAATTCTGTACATAACATTAATTGTGCACAAATTCTACATTGCATAGTGGCACAGAATTCCTCCAGTAGTACACATTACCCATCCACCAAACCACACTCACAGCAGCAGTCCAAGTATCTCTGTGTGGAGCTGTCAAATTGTAGTGTTAAATCTTAAAAGCACGCCCTCACAAATAACTTTTTCTGTGCTGTCCTGTATCAGCCAAAGATTAAGGATTCAAATTTTCTAAAACTTCTTTAAAAATCACAGGCTATTCATCTTCAAAGATGATGTGCACTGACAGCTTCAGAAGAGTTAATGACTGCTTAGCTTTTTTGGGTCTGCATGGGGGAAGCTTCCTAATAATCCCTCCCCCTCCCCCCCCCCAAAAAAAACCTGTTCCATACTTTTCCCACCTATACCCAACAACCCTCCAAGTTCACACCCAGGCTCCTTCCCTACATGGTGGTCTATTTTAAAGAGGAGATTGATATTTTTAGTTCTACCATTTAAACACGTCTACTGATATTTTGAAATAAAATGCAATGTATTGTGTCCTATTGTACTATGAAGCATATTTATATACAGAACATTCTTATTCAACAATCACACATTCAAAGACTAACCCTGGATCTTAATGGCACTTGCAGTGTTGATCCAAGTCTGCATATCTCCAGCAGAGGGATATGAACTGTTGATATTAAATGTTGTGTTCCAATAACGCTGAGCTTTTGAAACAGTCAGGAAATCAAAATCAAGGTAAACGTTGTCCTCCACCCCCTTCTCAAAAAGTTAAATTCAATGTGTTGCCCAAATTCTCATTTGAGACTTTTGTCAAGGTCTTAATTTATATATACTTTAATGCATCAATTCATTTTGAGGAAAAGCTATTCTAAAAATACTTATCTAGGAGCACAACATTCAGCTTCCCGAACATACTCTGGACAAGAGCTTTAAAGGACAATTCACCTGTTGCATCCAAAACACCTGGACATATGTGAAAGTTGCAATCTGGAGTGATTCCAGGGATTGCAGAAGGGAACCCCAAAGCTAAAAGCATGAGTCTCTACAGCTTGAACTATAGAGCCAGTTATTTGTTGGTGGGGGCTTTAACAGGCTCACCTTCTCTTTGCATCAGGCACCAAGGGGGACACAACACAGTAACCAGTAGCTTACACATATCCACACAGTACCTGTACCTGGACATGAAAGATCTATAACTGCACATGCATGTGGACATGTCCCTTTTTCCAATAGACAAAGATTTTTAGGGAAGGTAAAAGGTGCATATACATTTTGTGAGCATGGTTGTCATGCCCTCCTTCGACAAGGTCATCAAAGATGCCTTCAAAGGTGCCAATCCAGCATAATGTGCAAAAAGGTATAATAATCCTGCCTTCAATGTGTATGTGTGTGACTAGAGAGAGACAGACAAACACAAACACACACACACACACACACACACACACTGAAGGCAGGATATATAGAGAGAGACAGACACACACACACACACTCTGAAGGCTGGATATAGACACACACACACTGAAGGCAGGATTATTATACCTTTTTGCACATTATGATGGATTGGCACCTTTGAAGGCATCCTGATTTTCAGGTTAACACAAATGTATAATCTTTTGCATACCCTAACTGTATGGTCATTTTATGCATACTGTCTTTGCTTTGATATAATGCTGCTGCTAAATAAGTTTAACAGTTCAGCAGCAGAGCTTATGCAAATACCACCCAAGGGCAGTAATGATCGTGGTAAGTTTGTGTCTGCACACATTAAGAACCCCTTTAGGTCCAGCTGTGTTCTGTCATTGCATCAGTTTTCCATTGTAAATAATGTGATTATCCTGGTGTCTGCTAGTGCTACTATAGTTACTGAAAAAGTCTATTTTATATATTCTGTAAAATCAGTTTCTGCTGCAAAACTGTTGTTCTTGGCTGAAAGGTGGCATACAAGGGAATTTATTCTCTGCTTGATGCATGCTGCCTGCAGTTAAGTCTGGGTATATACGGAGACAAGAATTTACCCTTTGGATGCACTCCAGGAACTATTTGCATATAATACTTTTCAAACGCCCCCTCCCCAGTCTGTTGGGTAGTTTTAGAGTTACTAACTGCAAAATACATTGCTACTTTTCTAGTTAAGGATGCTCTTATGCCCTTCTATAATTAAAGCCGACTTTCTAAACCCTACTAGGATCATTCACCACAATGTGGACTTAACACTTTTATATTAAAATAACAAATGAAAGTTTGTATATTTGAAAATTGTGAAGTGCACACTTGCAGTAGCTTTTCACAACACCATTATTTTTAGTCTTCATATGTCTATTACCATAGCAAAGACTTCAGATCAGTTAAGAGATTTAAGTATAGAACATACATTTTAAAAGTTATTTGCATTCAAGCTATCATGAAGGTGCCTCTCTTTGTATTACAGTTATTGTGGAGGTATTGGAATAGCGAACAGTGAAATATCTAGACCAATGAAATAGATATAAGAACGCTGGTTTTATGGGGTGAATAGGGATGTTTCTTTGCACAAGTGACTAGTGGGGGGACAGGACCTTAACCTACACAGTCATATAGGAAATCTCTAATCTGCACGTGGAAATTTCAGTTACATATTTAAATTGGCAACCACCAGATTTATATGTATAATTATTTTGTTCATGAAAATCTGGTGGTTACCGATCATTGCATGCCATTAGATTGAGCCCACAATATTGATTTGTTTCACATGCAAATCTTGCACATGTAAAGGTCCAGATCAACACAGGTTGCAGTTTTGCATTTTCTTTGAGTGATGGGCAAATTGAGAATACCAAGTCCGGGTATCTGGATAGTCTGACCAGAACCACACTGGATCAGAGAAAATTGAGGAGGAGAAAAAATGGGCTTGCTGCCTATCCTTAACTGACTGTGGTTTTGTGAATAGTGAACTTTAAAAATACAAAAAAAGAAGGAGTAGAGGAAGTCTCAGAATAGCCTGTTGCTCAGTTTTCACCTAAGGAACAAGAAATCTGAATGCGTTTAGTGGCAGACAATAAGTCTATGAAACAAAGGCACTGAGAACAAATGAACTAAGATACAAAAAGCCATTTATACAAAAAAATGTGGTGGTGTCAAGTCACCTACACAAGCTAGTATTAAGCTACAAACACAGATCCACCAATTCTATAAACAGACACAGGAGTGTTCACATGCCACAGGACCTAAAAAGACTGCTGATAAAAAGGGAGTCCATAAGTATTTAATTTCACTTTTCCTGTATGGCTCCTTACTGAATGTTTTTAACTCTGACTCACTGTACACTAACTTAGGTGGAGTCCCAAGGAGAGCATCCAATGCCTCAGGGCTCCATTAAAGAACTTGATTCTTCTAAACAAAAGGAAAGCCTAACCTTGAAGTAAAACCTGTTTTGCTCTAACAGTACAGCATTCCCAAAGACCCTTTGACAGTAGCCTAGAGATTGTGCTTTGTTGAGCCATCTTCGTTCTCCTCGCCTTCGGATTCTGATTCTATGAGGTAAAAAGAAAAAAAAAATAAAACTTTTCAGCTCTTTTTGAACAGGATTTACAGTGACAGTTATATCATTATTCCTGTAAATAGCAATAATAAAAGATATGAATAAAGATTTGCCTCATGTTTCCTAGGAAGAGATGGCAGACATGGAAAGTGGCTCAGCAAGAAACAAACTGCAGACAAAAACAAACAGGAATCCTTGTGGCACCTTAGAGACTAACAAATTTATTTGGGCATAAGCTTCTGTGGGCTAAAACCCAAGCTTATGCCCAAATAAATTTGTTAGTCTCTAAGGTGCCACAAGGACTCCTCTTTGTTTTTGCTGCTACAGACTAACACGGCTACCACTCTGAATACTGCAGACAGAACACTTTATTCTACTCTCAGTTATACTCCATCTATTTCAGTTGTACAGGTCTAGATTTAGAACAGAATTGGGTCACTATGGATAATCTAGACCTAACTTTCCCACAAAATAAAGTGAGTTCAAGTATACACTGGTTAAATTTAATAAAAAACAATAACTATCCATGTATAACTCTAATCTATATGTCCAGGTGGGATTGCTGCTGTCCAGAATACAAGTTACATACTGCAGCTGATGTGCTCTGTCAAATAAATCAGTTTCTGAAAACTATCACGATGCAGTCTGTTCACAAAACTATAGATGGCAGTACAATTAGACTGAGATGCATGTCAAATATTTGCTATCAAAAATCTAAATAAACCACCACACACTCCCAAACTGCCAACTAAAATCAAGTGAAAAAGTTTACATTATGCTGAATCTCTGACTTATTGTTCGCCTCTGAGGAAAGTATGTTGCAAATGCAATTTAATTTCAAACCAAACTTCTCAGGCCAAATTTAATAGTGCAAAGTCATGCATTTAGGGACTAACAACAAGAATTTTTGCTATAAGCTGGGGATGTATCAGTTGGAAGTGAGAGGAGGAAAAAGACCTGGGTGTATTGGTTGATCACAGGATGACTATGAGCCACCAGTGTGATGCGGCTGTGAAAAAGGCCAATGCAGTATTAGGATGCATCAGGCAAGGTATTTCCAATAGAGACAGGGAAGTGTTAGTCCCTTGTACAAGGCACAGGTCAGACCTCATCTGGACTATTGTGTACGATTCTGGTCTTCCATGTTTAAGGTTAATTCAAACTAGAACAGGTGCAGAGAAGGGCTACTAGGATGATGCAAGGAATGGAAAACCTGTCTTATGAAAGGAGACTCAAGGAGCTTGGCCTGTTTAGCCTAACCAAAAGAAGGTTGAGGGGAGATATGATTGCTCTCTATAAATATATCAGAGGGATAAATACCGGAAAGGGAGAGGAATTATTTAAGTTAAGCACCAATGTGGACTCAAGAACAAATGGGTATAAACTGGCCATCCACAAGTTTAGTCTGGAAATTAGACAAAAGTTTCTAACCAGCAGAGGAGTGAAGTTCTGGAACAGCCTTCCAAGGGGAGCAGTGCAGGCAAAAAACCTAATTGGCTTCGAGATTGAGCTTGATACATTTATGGAGGGCATTGAATGATGAGACTCCTTACAATGGCATGTAGCCGACCTGTGACCGCTAGCAGCAGAAATCTCCAATGGACGGTGAAAGGACCATAGATGGGGATGAGTTACTACAGAGAATTCTTCCCCAGGTGTCTGTCAGCTGGGTCTTGCCCATGTGCTCTGGGTCTAACTGATCACCATATTTGGGGTTGGGAAGAAATTTTCCTGTGGGTCAGATTGGCAGAGACCCTGGAGGGTTTTTGCCTTCCTTTGCAACATGAGGTCTGGGTCACTTGCACATTTAAAGTAGCGTACATGGTGGATTCTCTGTAACTTGAAGTCTTTAAATCACAATTTGAGGACCTCAGTAACTCAGCCAGAGGTTAGGGGGTCTATTACAGTAGTGGGTGGGAGGAGCCCACCCCAGCCCTGGTGCCGGTGGAGCTGCCTCTCCCTCCCTCCCTCTACGGCCCCGGTGCTGAGAAGCTGTTATTTCCTGCCCCAGCTCGGGGCTGAGGAGTTGGCTCTCCCAGCTACAGCAGGTGAAGCTGGTTCTCTCCCCTTCCCCCAGCAGCCCCGGTGCAGGTGGAGCTGGCTCTCCCTTCCTCCCTAATCTTGGGGACAGAGCAGTTTGCTCTCCCTGCCCCAGCAAAGTTCTGTGCCCCCCACTGATTGGGGGGCTTGTGCATGCCCCTGCACTGGAGTAGTGGGAGGAGAATAAATAAAGTGTAAGACTACTGCCGGACATGCAAACATTTTAATTGGTCAAAGTTTAATATTCCAAGGTGTGTGTTAAAAGGACAATCTTTCAGTTATGCTGCCACCTATGTGGTGGAATTGCTGTTCATAATCCCTCCATAAAATTCTGAATATTAATAATGTTTGATAACCTGATACCACTGTGTTTAGCAGCCACAAATAATCAGCAGCCCCAAGAAATTGAAGGAAACAGTGTGTCAAATTATCAGTTTGAACTGAGCAGAAGAGAGGGGGCAAGTCAACAGTGATAATTATACACCTGCCACTCAAAACAACTAACATGGGGCAGTCTTTAAAGGGACAGTTCACCTGTTCTTATACCAGAAGGGAAGTGTTTACCATTTGAGGGCACCAGAAAAAAGGAAATGTGGGCCCAAACACCCATTCATTTCCCTTCCCATTATTCCTTTTTTAACAGCAACTACAGTCCTTATGCCTTTATGATTGCTCTTCTCGTTCAGGAATTCAGTGCTATTCAGTGAAATTCACCCGGCAGGACACATGGAATTCTAAGAGCTCAGGACTTCACATGGACACTATTAATGACATGAAAAACAGTCAGTGGTGCCTGCCTTCTAAAGACTAAGATTGTAAAGAATTTAGAGCAGGTTCTGTCTTTTACCATCCATCTGCATAGTACCTAGCACAGTGGGGCCAGGGTCCTGACTGAACCTGTAGGCACTACTATAATACAACTAACATCTTCAAAATGGAATGGCCAAGAGGCTACTAAATACTGTTAACTTAAATGGAATTGTACCTTCTTCAGCATTTTGCAGCCACTCAACAAATTTCTTCATCTGGTCAAGAAATACACTTTTGCCTTTCGCAAGATGTGCTTCTTTATTCCACTTCAGGATGGCTTCTTCGCTCAGGACATCAGCTGAAATTCAGAGCAGTGGTTGCAAAGATAAGCATATTTTTATAAGACAGAAGACAACTGAAAAACTGCTAGGTTTTGAGGCAGTAAGAAGTGAATCACTTTGATCATAGTGAGGTGAGCTTTGAATCGGCATTGTACTTAACACTAGGCTGTAACTGCAGAATGTCACATAAGAGATCGCAGCTGTGTCACATACCATAAAGTCAGTCATTAACTAAATATGTTAGTCTTAAAATAAACTATTCAATGTCATGCTTCTGTAAAGAGTAATTACTCCTCTATTCAATTGGCTTTAAATAAGAGATATAAAAACACACCAATTGCAAAGGAAGTCAATAAAATCTACCTGTATATCTTAGGACTCACCTCAGTAAGAAATACTGTAGTTTCTTTTGCTGCTGACTCATAGAGCTATGCAAGAGTAAAAACTGCTAGAATTGTGGCGAAAAAATTAACAAAAATTCCATCCTAATGTGAAGTCTCTTATCTTTCCCAGCTGACTAAACAGTAGTCATCAGGGGAATCATTTAAAGGGACCATGCTCCCAAAACTCTTCTTTTAAGTGTCGAGAACAAAATAATTGAGGACAAGAGAAACATCAGGCTTAATAAACTCAGCCAGGATGCCCACTGATCCTAGCTGATGTGAAACAATAAGCTTCTAGCCCAAGTGACAGAGTTTCTGCCATCCAACCAAGTCTTGCAGCTGAATAAGTGACTGTCGTGGAGCCAATATCTGTGATGCAGTTTAGCCTTCAGGGCCATTGGATGACATAGGAGGCCAGAATAAAAACAGCACCTTTGGTTGTCGCCACCATTTTCCTTTTCACGTACTGATCAAACTAACATCCTCCTCCCCATAATCAGCACATTTTTGAAAGTGATTTACATCAGTTTCTTCAGTGCTGCCCAGTATACCAGGAATATGGGATTCCCCTTGCTACCCTGCTGAATACCAGGACACAGCCATATTCTACTGTGGCACAAAGATTATAGGCAGATGCCAGCAGTGAAGGACAGAAGAAAATTAACTGGATCAATTATAATGAAATAAATGAACAAACATCTTTAAAACATCTGTGTAAACAGAAACAGGACTGAGACCACAGACTCACTTCACATAAGCCATGGAACAGCAAACAGATAGTAGTGACCTGGAACTATTTGAACTGGTAACCTAGAACTAATTACAAATACCCTAAGCCAACCAGGTTTCAGTAGCTAAGCCAACCAGTCACTCATGGGTAGAAACTGAATACACTTGGGTCTCCCTGGAGATTTCAGATCTGCTGAAAACAAGTGAAATGTGTTTAGAAGTCCCTCTGGTCTCACAAGGACCGTTTACTATCAAAAGCCATCATCCAATTTGACATTATCAGCAAACAAACAAGCTGAAGGTAGATGAAGAGCAGGAGTGTCACACCTTTTGAAAACAGTGTGGTGGCACAGTTGTGTGCGCATGCGCAAGACTACAGAATTCCTGTTTAAGACTACGTCTGCTTGTACCTACAACCATCATTCTCTGCCCTTGTAAAAATTCAGTTCCAATATTTAGCTAAAAATGTAGCTGAACAACAAAAAATCCACTATTCTTGGAACCTGTACTCAAAAGTACTAGAAATGGTAGAGTTATGAGAAAAAATTAGATACAGGAACTAAATAAAGTTTATAAGGAAGATGTGACATTTGGCATTAAACAAATGTCAACCCAATATTCTTTACCGTAGCTCCAGCATTTTGCTGGCATTAGGTCTATAACACACATTTGGACTCCGATTTAGAGGATATAAGCTACAAGCTTCAAAAGTATTGACTTGGAACTTTTAATAGAGATTACAAATATAATTTCTTCATGAAAAAACACTGTACTCCAATACACTGTATAGCGCGTGCATGAAATTGTAAGAAATGCAGCAACCGATGACACAGATTGTCAACCTGTGCATCATAACCCCTGGGAGAAAAGGATGTTGTGACTAGCCTCCATTTTTTTCTGGCTAAGTGGGGGTGGGGAAGGGATCGAAACTTTTATAACATGGGGTCATAGGTATGGAAAATATTGCAAATGCACATCACTGAACTATTGGCCCCTATTCAGTATACCATATAAGTAAGTGCCTAAAGTTAGGCACATGCTTTCCTGAATTGGGGCTCTGAGGATCGTGGACTTGCAATAATAGTAGAGCCCATTCTAGTGGTCAAGCATTACAAAAATTAGATAGGTCTAAATCCAGGATAGTAAAAAGTCTCATTACCTGCCTGAAAGATGAGAATGGCTCCAAGATGGTGGGGGAGAGATTTGCCTGCATATGATTCTCTGGCACTAAAATGAAGTGAATGTTCCTGCACTGACAGAAAATGCACCCAGAGAAGGAATAAAAATACCTTCAGTTACAGAAATGACAATCACGTCTTTCCTTTCATTTCTGAGAAACATCATTGGTAATTCATTCATGCCTCCAGTGTTTGTAAGGGATAATATTCTCCTGTCAGTGCAGAGATGCTCAATTAAGCAATCAGCCAGGACAGGGTGTAGTTAATGATAACCCTCTGAAGAAATGGGAACACTGGGGGTGATTTATTTTAGCTACAGTATTTCTGATTAAAGATTATGGCAATTATTTTTTACATGCTGTAATAGTTTCAGTTGAATTTTATGGTTGGCATGGTTCTGTGTTGTTACATCCTCTGCCCCAGGTGATGTCAGCCCTGGAGATCCAGAGCTGGTTTCCCTGCCAGTGCAGCTAACTACTACTCCAGCCACCCACCACCAGAACCCCAGGTTAAAATCAATCATGAGAGGGAGAGGTCCCAAGGCACACTTCATTAAGGTGTCTTCACTGCAGACTTAACTTGAACTATAACTCAAGTATTGCCCCTAGCTCAAGTCCTGTCCATACACAAAAACCCTTAACTTGAGTGAGGTGGTGCTTTTAACTTGAGTTAAGGGGCCCATAAGGTGGTACAGGCTACAGTTTCTGTTTAGCGCAACTTATCGCACTGTAGCTCATGTGTTGTTTCGCAGTGTGGCTGCTCTCACTCGAGGTAGGCTAACTTGAAAGGAGTTAAGTTAACTGTAGCAAAGACAGAACCTTAGATGGGGCTTTTTGATTATCATTATTATTATGCAAGTAATGTTACCCACAGTTTAACTGTGGCAAAATGCTTGCATTTCTGTTGTGTGTATTTTCTGCTGTGAAAGGTTCATAAGCCACCTTCCACTTGCTAGGGAAGATAATTGGAGTAACTGAGTAGAAATAAGGAAATTTACCTCATAGAAAATTGTGCGTAAATTAAGCTTGAAGATCTCCTTAAGTGGAGGATTAATAGATTGCATGTTCAGAGAGGTGGTTCAAATTGGTCTATTATAAAGACCCCAAAATGAAGACAAGCAAAATAAAATCATTAGCATCTTTAAGGCCTCAGTCAGGTGCAGCAAGTGAGTGTATATCTCCCATGAGAACTCCTAATTATTTCAGTCTCTTTAGGGGGTTCTGCAAGGCCAGAAACGTCTTCAGGAACTTAATAAAACGTAGCTTTAGTGGCCTTTACAGAACAGAAAAAAGGTTTTATTCCATGTTAGGAACATTTGTTCTTCAAGGATGAAATCCTGGCTTCACTGAAGTCAACAGAAGTTTGGACGGAGACCACAGCGTGGCCAAGATTTCACCCCGGGTCTCTAAGTTAGAGATAAATTTAGTAGAGCTACAGGAGATTCTGTGCTTAATGAACATGATATAATATGCAATCCAATATTACTTACATTCAGTCTTTTCCCCACTATAGTTCAGCCAGAAATGAAGATGTTTTATTCAAGGAAAGTGTGGGCCCCTTACTGAATGAGGGAGGCAACCTCGTGACAGAGGATGTGGAAAAAGCTAATGTACTCAATGCTTTTTTTGCCTCTGTCTTCACGAACGAGATCAGCTCCCAGACTACTGCACTGGGCAGCACAGCATGGGGAGGAGGTGACCAGCCCTCTGTGGAGAAAGAAGTGGTTTGGGACTATTTAGAAAAGCTGGATGACCACAAGTCCATAGGGCCACAGGCACTGCATCCGAGAGGCTAAAGGAGTTGGTGGATGTGATTGCAGAGCCATTGGCCATTATCTTTTAAAACTGGTGGCGATCAGGTGAGGTACCGGATGACTGGAAAAAGTGCCCTTCTTTAAAAAAGGGAAGGAGGAGGATCCAGGGAACTACAAGCCAGTCAGCCTCACCTCAGTCCCTGGAAAAATCATGGAGCAGGTCCTCAAGGAATCAATTCTAAAGCACTTAGAGGACAGTAAAGTGATTAGGAACAGTCAGCATGGATTCACCAAGGGCAAGTCATGCCTGACTAATCTAAGTGCCTTCTATAACGAGATAACTGGCTCTGTGGATGAGGGGGAAGCAGTGGATGTGTTATTCCTTGACTTTAGCAAAGCTTTTGACACCGTCCCCCACAGTATTGTTGCCAGCAAGTTAAAGGAGTATGGGCTGGATGAATGGACTATAAGGTGGATAGAAAGCTGGCTAGATCGTCGGGCTCAACGGGTAGTGATCAATGGCTCCATGTCTAGTTGGCAGCCGGTATCAAGCGGAGTGCCCCAAGGGTCGGTCCTGGGGCCAATTTTGTTCAATATCTTCATTAATGATCTGGAGGATGGCGTGGACTGCACCCTCAACAAGTTTGCAGATGACACTGAACTGGGAGGAGAGGTAGATACGCTGGAGGGTTGGGATAGGATACAGAGGACCTAGACAAATAGAGGATTGGGCCAAAAGAAATCTGAGGAGGTTCAACAAGGACAAATGCAGAGTCCTGCACTTAGGACAGAAGAATCCTATGCACTGCTACAGACTAGGGACCGAATAGCTAGACAGCAGTTCTGGAGAAAAGGACTTAGGGGTTACAGTGGACGAGAAGCTGGATATGAGTCAACAGTGTGCCCTTGTTGCCAAGAAGGCTAATGGCATTTTGGGCTGTATAAGTAGGGGCATTGCCAGCAGATGGAGGGACGTGATCGTTCCCCTCTGTTCAACATTGGTGAGGCCTCATCTGGAGTACTGTGTCCAGTTTTGGGCCCCACACTACAAGAAGGATGTGGAAAAACTGGAAAGCATCCAGCGGAGGGCAACAAAAATGATTAGGGGACTGGAACACATGACTTACGAGGAGAGGCTAAGGGAAACTGGAATTGTTTAGTCTGCTGAAAGGAAGAATGAGGGGGAATTTGATAGCTGCTTTCAACTACCTGAAAGGGGGTTCCAAAGTGGATGGCTCTAGACTGTTCTCAGTGGTAGCAGATGACAGAACAAGGAGTAATGGTCTCAAGTTGCAGTGGGGGAGGTTTAGATTGGATATTAGGAAAAAACTTTTTCACTAGGAGGGTGGTGAAGCACTGGAATGCGTTACCTAGGGAGGTGATGGAATCTCCTTCCTTTGAGGTTTTTAAGGTCAGGCTTGACAAAGCCCTGGCTGGGATGATTTAGTTGGGGATTGGTCCTGCTTTGAGCAGGGGGTTGGACTAGATGACCTCCTGAGGTCCCTTCCAACCCTGATATTCTATGATTTAGAATGGACTGAAAGCTTACATCATCCTACGTATGATGGCTGGCCAGTAGAGATCTGGGGGAAGAGTGAGGCTTATTAATTTTTTGTTAGACCTGTGTTGCTGTTGGGGTTGTACTGTCAGTGAGCAATTGCCAGCCTCTGTTTATCGTTAATTGTACTTTTAAGAGTGTAAAGGGTGCTCTTTTACATATTTCTTATAAATATAAATAAAATATATACACAGAACAGAACATTTTTGGTCTTTTGCACTGATAAGAGGCTTGATCCTTCTCATGTTGAAGTCATTAGCAAACTCCCAACATATTCAATGGGATTTGAATCCGGTCTTAAAGGCTCTACATGGCCGAGAATTTATTATAATTAGAGCTCTAATACAGAACTTCTTAAAGGTCTTGTTTTATTATTGGTTCCTGGCTTTAAGACTTCCAAATGCTTTTACTGCTAAACTGACAGTGGATCAGCAATGTGGAGGTCCTTATAAATAATTACCAAATTTGACTACCAGTTTCTAATTATATCAACTAAAAGAGATTATATATACAAACTTTCTTCAACAGTAATGAAAGATTAGAACCAGGACCCTCCAGCTGAGGCCAAAATGAACACCATACACATCAGGGGTTGTTCAAAACTTGCTAAAGGCTCACCTGCAGACTCCTCTGATCCTGATGTTGCTCAGATCAACACAGTCCAGCCAGATGAACAAAGTTACACTGAGGTGCAGTGGGAGCAGGAGAGTCGGGGAAGGGAAAACCTATCGCCGGCATAGCTCAGGGATATCCTAGTCACATCCCTTTCCGTGCTGTGCCAGCAGCAGGGAGGCATAATAACGTAGGGGCCCCTAGATCATCTCTAAATCACTAGAGGATCTCCTTTACATGAGGATGATCCTCTCTGGGCTGGTTAAATTGGCTTTAAAGGTCAGATTGGCACAAAGCTGCCACACTGCATGAAGAAATCTGGACCTATATCTGTACATTACAAAAGGGACAGATTTTAGAGTAAGAACATAGAGTCTCAGGTTTTCCAGTTTACATTCAGACAGACTCTCTATATTTTGCTGATACATTAAGAGAAAATTCCAGGTTATCCTCTTAGAAAGCAATTCAGGTTTATGGGGCTATTTTAGCCAGAAGCGTGGGGAAATATAATAAAATTAGGATTATAATTTAGATGTTAGGAATGCCCCTGCAGGTAGTCCAAGGAAGACATTATCAAAATCACAAACAATTAGGTGCCTAACTTTCATTGTCCAACTACCATTTGCACCTTTGAAAAACTCCCTTGTAATGAATAATGTTCCACAGAGTGAGAATCCAGGGTGTCACACTGTGCACTATCCAAGAGAGTTCTGAGGGATAGTTACTGGCATTTCTTAATCCCAACCATAGCTATTCCATATGCTGTGTTGATTCACCATACAAAGAAGATGATCAGGTACTCTGAAATCTCTCCAATTCATGGCCCATCCATTTTACGACTTGGAGATCCCAATTAAACCACAGTGGCCTTTGGGCCAAAGACAATCAGTCCTTCAGTGAGGGGAAAGAGGAGCTGCTGTCCTCTCCACATCACCACAGCTCTTGGTAACCTGGTGGACTTCTTAGCTAGTAGGTGATTGCACACGTGAAACTACAGAGATGCGTAGACCTCACAAATCTCCAAGACTCTGATGAAATAACCTGTTTGTAGCAATGGTAGGGGTGGATGCAAGTTCCACCCCTGAAATGGAGATGGTGACAGTCTATCCATGCAACAGACATGGCCCAATATCTAAAATATCCATGCCAGACTCAAATATTAAGTAGGGGTACATGGCTAGCCTTAGAGAAGCTATTCCTGACTCTCTGGGTAAAACCCAGGGAATATATCGCTTGGAGGAAGCCATGGACTGGCCCATGAAAGCAGATGTTGACATGCATATAGAAATGCTAGAGGACAATAATCCATGAGGCCTTCAACACCATACAGTCTCTGTTAAATTCAGCCTGGCATCTATTTCCAAGCAAGTATGAATATAAAAACCCTTCTTTATCATCATTATTGGTGGACCTTATTACAGATCTGACAGGCATGTCAGCACTCTGATCACTGTAGCCTCAATTAGTTCCCCCCATAATCAGTGGCTGATTAAATAATTAGCTAATCAGAAGGAGAAGCTGGGGAGGTAAGGGACTAATTAGCCCTCAGCTGACCTACCTGATAAAAAGCCAGGAAGGAAGGGTTACAAGAGAGAGAAAGACAGGGCTAGCTGAACCTGGAATGAAGGAGCTCCCTAGAGAGAGGGAGACCACCTTTCCTCCTAGCACCCTGGCAAAGAAGAGCTGAAAAAAGTAGAGTTAAAACTGTGATGTTGCACTGTACTGGGGTTGGTGGACAGGCTTAGAATAAAATACAGCCCGCATCAGAAGATGGGGACAGCATGGCTGTCCCAGTCCTGACTGTAGTCACTGCTATATTCTGAATTGGGCTCAAACTGGCAAAGAAAGAGAGTCTATTAGTTGTTATAATTTCTCATCAGATATACATTTCCTCATAAAAGCAACAGAAACATATTAAAGATATTATCCATAACAGCTGTACAAATAATTCTCAATAGCTTTGTTCCTCATGCATTTACATTGTTACTTATTTAAATTCATTTTTGGTCCCCTACACCACAAACTGAAGACAAATCTACTTAAACTATTTATGTTATCATTTGTGGCACTTAACTTAAATAACATGCAGAAAAGTACAATGCTCATCCAGCATATACAGAATGAACTAAGGATGGAACACCATCTATTGAGGATGCATGAAAGAAAATCAAATTAGAATGTTTGTGTCTTGTTAAGTCTTAATTTTTCTCAAAAGGTCACATTTTCTATTTTTTTATGCTACTAGGGTCAGTTTATGTAGACATAATAAGGATAGGAATAAATATTGTTGACTCACTTATTTCTGCTTTCTGAAAATCTATATGAATACTTTAGTCAACAGCTGTGTGTATTTTTGAAAGTATACGTGAACACTCAATATGAACAAAAAAAATCTATACTGAGCATTTCTAGTCACACTGATTTTCCCCCTTCAACTATTTATAGCAAGAATGTTAGAACAAACTGCTTATCACCCCTCTCACATGCAGTGCAAGACTATTAGTCTCTATGACAACCTGAACTGAATAAACCTACTAAGAAGACATCTATACTACAAAAATGAAATCCTGGAAATAAAGGCTTCTGCAAGGATCTGACAGTGCCTAGCTATGGCCTGATCCTGCTTCCACTGAAGTCAAGGCAAGATTTGCCAGTGACATCAATGGGAACAGAATAATGCCCATATAAAAGCCAAAAGACCTTGATCACTATTCTTTTCAAGATAACATTGATCACCCCCTTCCCTCCCTCATACAGGTGAGGCAGCTGCACGTAACACAGTTGTGACTCCATGATTTAGGGCTACCCAGCTCCAGCATAGGTTAGAGGAGGAGGAATTTGCTTTAGCTTACTGCTGTTATTAGGTCCTTGATGCCAGCAGGTCTAGCAGAACTCAGGTCTACCATATCTATTCCAACACGCAAAATGCCTGTAAATCTCCCCCCCCCGCACACAAACACACACTTACATCATTGGTGAGGGGGTGGCTTGTGTAAGAAGTGCCCATGCCCACCTCCTCCATCTCTACGGCAATGGAGAATCTCCTTTTACAGGGGCAATTCTATCTCTGGCTGGTTTAAGTGGTTTCTGCGCAGACCAGAGAGACCAGCTTCAGAATCTAAATACATGCCAAACTTACTCATTATCTTAGTACAGTGTGTTCCAGTAGGCACAGGACACAATGTTCACTGTACAGCGTACTAAGGCGGATATGGACATATACCTTTGTAAAAGAGTACCACTATCTTCTGAAAGGCTTTCATAAAGTGGATGTTGTCATAACAGTATTCCTGAACCTTCTGGAGAAGAATTAGCTCTGAATGGCCTTGGGTGCTGAACACAGCCAGCAGGGGTGCATATTGCTGGAAGAGGGGGGGAAAAAGGCAAATTATTTTATATAGAAATACTGAAAGTGAAAAATCACAGACACCATTACTACAATTTAACTCCTTGTAAATTTCATCTTTGGAAAAACAATCACCTAGAGAAAGATGTGGTTGCTACACTGACACCTAGAATTTATTGCCAATAATTGCAATTTTATTTCATTAGTGCCATTTACACAAATGCACAAGCTTTTGTAAGACAAAAGTTGGGGAACTTGCAATGGATTATTTTAATGTTTCACTTTGCTATTGAATTGTGTAAAGTGAAGTTATAAGACCCATTATGTCAGAGTATGGTTATTTGTATGCTGTTTGGTACAACAGAAGATAAGCAACTATGATATATGATGTTTCAACAATATTCTGGATGCTACATGTTGCAAAGAGAGCACCAACAATGTCACACACCCAGAACTGATGCTCCTGATAATCTGAAATCCCCAGTTTCATAGAGGCTTATAGAGATCATAATAAATCCAGTATGTGAAAACCATTAAATTGAACATGCTGGGGCATGAATTAGAAGTGACCTTTCCTTGTGCAAAGAACACAATAGCTTTTCCAGTACACAAAAATAAACCATTTAATACAGTACACTGGCAAGGTAGTAATGGTCCTTTTTATGACCTTTACCATAACAATTAAAGATCCAAAGAAAAAAGGTAGCTGCTCGTAAAAGGTCAGAACTCCATTTTGTTATGGAAATACTTCTCTTCCTTTTGAAGAAGGAAGTTATGCCAGTTATGACCTTATTTTCATCTGATCGTTCCTTCTAAATAGTCAGTATTTACCTTTCTTGCTTTCTCATTTCTTTCCCTCTCATTAGGGGGTTGTATTGAAATCAGTGGGATTACTTGCAACCTTAAACTTAAGCATATGCTTAAATGGTTTCTCTTCAGTACTGGGGCCAGGGTACTCGGCCCCTTACAATTTTGAGCCTGAGGGGAGACAAACTTCACCTGGTCTGCCCCATTGCCCAAATGTACATTTTCAAAGCTACTGCCTACATCATTGCCTAGATTGGTGAAAATTTCATTCCTCAACATGTCCTTTTCACACTAAAAGGGTCACTTCAATATAAGTGTGTTCATAGACTGAATTAAATAGCTTCACAGTGGGTCAGATCCTGAAGTTCTTACTTAATAAGGTCAATGGGAAGAGGACTGAGTAAAAACTTCATAAGCACTTGGGCCAAGTATTCATGTTTCATCAGCTATTCTCCTTGGCAGAGACACAAGCTACACAGTTTGTGTAATAAGAGCTTGGTAATTTGAGGTATAGTATTGCAAGGTTCTTTTTTCTAACTTTTATTTAAGCTCCCACCAAGCAATTACAACTACAAAAATTGCTAGAACTTAGTCAATATTAGCAAGTAAAATATTCACACTCTCCCTCAGTATACGCAAATATTTATCAACAGTGCAACAGTGCCAGCCCTGAAGTGCAAGCTTGGGGTATTGAGATCCTTCCCTCTTTGGCCCTTCAATTGTCCAGCATTTGTTTAATTGGATACAGATGTTGAGAGAGATAACAATACATGCTATGTGTCTCTATTCAATAATGTCAGTGGGACTCCGATATTGTCCAGAGATTAATGTCTCCTGCTGCTACATAAATACTAAGGAGTTTATTTTAAAAAATATAGCCCAAATTTTTGCAGCTTTTAAAGTCAGTGAACTAGTGCCTCGATGTTATTATTCAGGAAGGGCTTTAGAGTGGAGAGATTTCAGTGGGAAAAGCAATCAGTCTTCTTAACCCTGAGGTTCTCAAAAACTGATCTGTGGAGGTAGAGGGAGGCAATAATGAGTCCATAATGCTACAGGAGCTGGCCAAGGCAAGGATTTGCCCAGTAAGGGCTTTAAGGACTTATACAACACAGAGACCCATTGAAGAGGGGCCCCTCTTTATTCATGATGATGGAAGGCCCTCTCACAACATACCAATTGGTTACAGTTTTAAAAAAGGGGCTTACAAATCTTGGGCTACCAGTGCAAGAATTTGGTTCCCACTCTTTCTGGATAGGGGCTGCAACAGCTACAGCCCTGCTAAGGCCAGGAGCCAAACTGATTCATGCAATTGGCCGATAGCATTCAAAGGCATACAGGATGTACGTGAGACCTCAGGTAGAGAATCAGGACTTATTTTCTTGTATTTCCACTTTCAGAATCAAGAAGACAGGCCAACTGAGCGGTGGGGTGGACTTTGTATACTGGGCAGCCAGATGGAGCCTCCAAGGTATTGGCCAGTTCACATCTGGGCCTACGGAGTGAGGCAACCCTGAGCTGGCATGGAAGGAGAGGCAGGCTATGGGACCGGCTGACACTCCTTGTACACTCTTTGGCAGACTGGGAATGGACACAGAGTGCAAATATTGTTCACCTCAGTTAAAAAAGAAAAAAAGGAAGGAAAGAATCAGACACTCTGGAAACCTGGAGAGGGAGGTGAAAAGGCAGCCAAGCATATTGTCTGGAACAGCGGGGAGCCGACCCCCATCTTTCCTGTACTGTACTATTTGTTGCCGGGTACTCCCAGATATTTTAAAGTGAATAAAGCTGTAGCTTAATTAAACTATGGCCATGGCCTCCTGTTCTTCTTCCAGCATGGACAGACAATGTGCTGTTCTGGGTTGAGACAGTGGGTTTAGGTCAATGTACATATCAACAGGCCAAGCCTGCAACCTTTACACAGGCATGAGATCCCACTGATCTCAATGGAACTACTCACAAAAGTAAGGACTTCTTCCAAGAGTAAATTTTGCAGGACTGGATTACAAGACAACAATATTTGTATATCACAATGTACTGAAAAACAGCTTGTCTATTTATTTCTCTTTCCAGTGTTAATATTCTGAAAGCTGTCCATTAATACACATGAGCTGCATTGTTAATACTACACCCTATGTTTAAAAAAAAAAAATCTGACCTCATAGATGCAATGCTACAACTACGAATTAAGTGATTAAACCAATCACCACCCCAAAGTGGTAAATAAAGCCACTGCTGGAACTCCAAAATGCATCTTCCTGCTGGAAGACAATTGTGTTGAGTTTTTCTTCCCATCTGGTCCCACAGCTGGAAAAGGCTCCATGACCAACATGCAAGGTGCAAAACCTATGGAGATGCAGGACCCCAAGCTTTGTGTATGCTGAACACAAACCTTAGGAGAAGGAACTGAGGAAGACGGGACAGCAGTAGTGGGCAATCAATATTAGAGATTTGGAAAGGTGAAAGGCATTGTGTGCAGAGCACAGATCCATGTTATCATACATGAAACTGGAAGTTCAGCAATTTCCCAACCATCATTTAACATATGCTTGTCTTAAAAGACTGGTGAGCATAGCCTCACTCTGAGTTTACAAGTTCACCAGAACTCTTCAGTGGAATTATGCTCCCCTCCCCAATTCAACTGGCTGATACTAATTCTCCAATTCTTCCCAATTCAGTTGGGAAGTACTAGCCATAATATTGTTGGTGTTTTTGTTTTTGTTTTAAATGCTTTTGAATACTTTTCAGCCACATTGTAAAGTATTTGTATCCTTATGAGGTCACCTTATGTTCCTCAGTACTTTGGCCAAAAGCGATGACAGTCACCATATAGCGGGCACAGGGCATTATTCCTCATATATGCAAGATGTTGTTCTAATACTTAATATCAATGTCACACCAGGTTCTATGCCTTCCTGATTTAAACATCCAAAAAAAAAGTTTACTGACACCTGTGGAGTATTTTCTTGTTTACAATCTTGGCACATGCACGCTCATACACACCTTTAGATGTTTAAGTGCTTGTTCTGCAACCAGCTCTTCCTTCTTGTTCCATTCAACAGCATTCATTATACACGTCCACAGGAGTCCAATCACTGCAGGCTCTGGCAGATCGTTTCTCTTCATTTCCTCTTTTACATAAAGCACTACCTGGTGGAAGAAAAACTTCCCACAATAGTTTGTACAGTTAGATAAAATTCTGAACTATAAATACACTAAGGTGTGGATTATAACAGAAAAAAAGTGGAATTAGCTGCAATCACGTAAGAAAGGCATGGTTTTTCCTTAAAATACCTTATAGAGTAAAATTTGTTCATTTTTCAAGTCTTTATGTACAATGTAAAACTAAAATAATTCTAGCACCATTCTTGACAGCACAGAAGCCCTGTGATTATGTTTTTGTATAGAATTAAAATAGGAGTAAATTAAATAATTCTAAGATGGGTAGAGAAAGCCTGTGGGGTATATACATATTTCCCTATAGTCACTGTTCATTTAAGTCTTTGCCTAATTGAGTAACAGTACGAATATAAAAATAAAAAACCTCTCCCCACCTCTTTAATTGGACATTCCTGAGACAGACGTTCCTGTAGCTCTTTTTGAAGTTCTTTACGAGTCCCCAGTGACTGCTGGACTCGGAGGAAATCTGAGAGCTCTTTTAGCCGTGCATCAGTGAAGTACTTCGCAAAATGCTCCACATTCTGCCGATTGGCTGGAAATAGTTCCTAGGAGGCAGAGAATGCTTCTCTGTTAAATAAACTACCAAGAAAGCTTATGGTGAGGAAGGAGAACTGGTTAAAAGAAAATTAATGTTTGCATTTTCAGTGGAGAAACCACATTAATTTTTATATAGGCTTGTTTTAGAGATAGTTGGTAACAGAGAAAAAACTACAACTCTTCAGGTTATATACAAAGAAAAGACAAGTAATTTACAAATTAATATTAAGTCTGCATATTCATGAAAAAACCTTGAGTTTAAAATAATATTTCAAAACATAGACCATAAAGCCATCATGCTAAGATCAGAGACTATGAACACAGAGCATTTCTATATATTTACATTTTGAGAGAATATATCAGTGTGTTATTTACCATATACTGCACAAAAGTGAATAGGAATATTTCTGAGAGCCATCCAATAAATATGGAAAATTATTGCATTAAATAGACAGGACACCATTAAAATAACTCATTCACAAGTGTGGCATCATTCAGCCCATACAAGTCACAGCAACAGCAGACCAGTGAATTATGAGAATCCAACCATGAAAAAAAATAGATGACAACTCTCAAGTCTGCTACTATAACTAGCACGTCATCTTGTCAGGGAGGGGATGGCAGTTATTTACTGACCGGTTCCCGGTGTCTGAAAGAACGATTCATGATCTGGATAACAGGCCTTATGACAGACACTAAAGGAGCACACTCTATTTACTTATCTATCTTGGTCTACAAGTACCTACACAGGAGATATCATCTGATACTGAAGCCTTTTAATCTAGTAGACAATAGCATTATACATTATCCAGTTGCTAAAAGCTGAAGATAGCAATGTTCAAACTGGAAATAATACATAAAGATTCTTTTTTAAACTATGTGGGTAATTAGTTATTGGAACAGATTACCAAGAGATATGGTAAATTTTTCATCACTTGGACTTTTTAAAATCAAGATTTGAGGTCTTTACAGAAAAATATGATCTAGTTTAGTTGCACATTGGGCTAGAAGAAGGAATTACTGGGTGAAACTCTCTGGTCTGTGTTATGCAGAAAGTCAGATTTATAATCTGGCTTTATAATCTATGAATCCAAGCGTCTTCAGGCAAATGCAAGAAGAGACCTGCACATTAGACAGCAAGAATCAACTATTTCTTCCCAGGAACCCACAATTCTCAACACTTCAGGTTGTTGATGATCCAAGAATTATATGCATGAACCGCAAGGCCATTGGCCTGACCACACACTGCTCCTAGTGGTTCTGCAGCTATCATTTTAGAACCACTGACTACCAAAATGCTTAGTCTTGTATTCACTTTATGAGGCTATCCCAACACTATTTCACAATTTTAAATTATAGAGCTATAATTCATTTTCAAGAGTATAATAATTTCATAAACCACTGCAGCTTCACTCATGGTTTTCTGCAACTAACAAACTACGTCAATAAAATAAAATCCTCAAATACACACATACTGGTTATTTATACTCTGTTATTACCAGAGTTTCAGTGGACAGTGACAAATAAAAGTTAGTTAACTCTCTGGCTTCTTAACTATATTCTTCAGTCTTCCTGCTATGGAAAAACAAAAAAGTGGATCGGAAAAAAATTACAGGACCTGATGCTTTAACAATGATGCAGGGACAGTAGCTCTAACATTATAACTGTGATTCAAAATATGTCAGTTTTTTGGGAGGGAGCATTAGGGGGAATTAACATTTATGACAAAGTAGCATCTGCCTTATATATCCTCCTCTTCCTAAAACAACAAAAACTCCCAGAAAATACATGGTACTTACTAGCAATCGCTTGTCTAAGTTGGCTTTTCTTAAAGAGGAGGTAACTGAGTTGGCATCTTTCTCTGCTATCCATGCTTTGAAAAGCTTTACAGCAAAAGATGCCGCAATTCCTATTTAAGAAAATAAAGTAAACAAGAACACACACTTCAGCAACTTTTGGAATGAATTAGCAATGCTTGAGAGATTTTAACAAACTAGGTAGAAAGCAAGATTGTGCGTTCTGTGGATTCTTTGTCAAAGATAACAAGCATTTACAGTTTGTGTTTAGATTATTTTTATTTTAAATGCAATCTTATTTTCTTTAATTACTTTGCAAAGTTCACAAGTACTTTCAAACATGCTGTTTTTATATTTGCTTTGAACCAATCAGATTTCCCCAATTGTTTTCCTTGCAATTGGTCTTGTTTTCATTTATAGACTATGTTAATTGTTGGATCATATTAAAGAAGTTCTGTATTAAAATCACAAATGAGTTTGATTCCCCATAGTTTAAATTCCAGGGTATTACTAATTAAGAGGTCTCTTGGTTTTTGGTACTGTTTCTCTCCTTCTTTTTGTGAAACTTGCAAGCTGCTAATTGCGTTAGTACATTCTAAGACAGAGTCTGTTCTCAAAGCAATTCACACAGAGAGAGACTCAAAGCAATACTCTGTAACAACAGAAACAGCACCCAGAGACTCCCCACCCTTCTGTTGTATTAACAATTGTGATTAAAATAGAGATAGAGGATGTATGTGGATGGATGCCTTGGTGTGGGTAATAACTGAATGATCAGGGAGCTGCCAGCCTAAGAATCCAGTGTCCATCGGCTGAAGAAGGCATCAAGTGGAAATAACCAGAGGACCCCCGGAGGGCAGACTGGAATCCACCCAACAGCCTCAAGAATGGGAGAACCAAAGAACAAGATAACATCTGGCAGCACAGAGCCGTCAGGAATGTGCTATCTGCTGATTGATTCAGCAACACCATGATGAAGCAATTCCCATAGACTGGCATAGGAAGAAACTCCTATAAAAATGGACTCTAGAAAGTGAGAACTTTGGGGTCTGATTCTGCAAACCAACTTCCAGGAGCATCAGATGAGCATCTGACAAGGCCCTGCTCCCTCCTCATGTCCAGGCCACCTGACCAGTGGCTTGGCATGAGCAACTCTAAGGCTGGTAACTATGATAACAACCTTGCAGAACCTGTGTGTGTGTGTGTATGAATGTGTGAATAAATATAAGATTGAATGGAATGTTATAGCTATAACTAACAGCTTACTAAGATACTTTCTGTATTCACAAAAAATGTGGTATTTTGCCTTTTCCCCTTTAATAAGATCCTGCTGGTTTTTATTTTATTGGTATAACACAACGATTTAAAAAAAAAAAACAAATACATGAATTTTGACAGATTTAAATAGGGAATCAGTTTAGGTAGAAGGATACTTGACTGTCTAAATAATTTGAAAGAAATTAAATTATGCACTGGAGGAAACTTGATGAAAACTCTCCAGAGTTATACAGTAAGTGCTTTATTATGATAAACCAAACACTACTTCCTTTGTAATTGGTTTAGATTAGTGAAGAAAAAATATACAGTATGTATTATTTTTTCTTCTGTGTTCCTGTATCTAGAATCACCATGGGATTGTAGCTATTCAAAACACTTATGTAATATCTTAAAGTAGGAGTGCATTCTCTTTGAAATTGCATAGGGTTTTTTACAGGTAACTTTAATGACTTTTTTTTGTTGTGTTTGCACAATGCCTAGCCCAATGGGGTTCTGGCACATAACTACAGCACCTGGGTGCTAACATCATAAAAATAAACAACAGCTGCCCCACCGGCTCCCAAATATTCATCATCTTCTCCCTCATCTCAAAATCATCTGGTTTTAAAATGAAAATAGGACATAGCTAGGTAGGAAGCAAGCATGACACAGTTGTTATTTGCCAATTTACAGACACTCATTTTCTCTCTTTTCATTTGTAGCGAATCATAAACTATCTTCTGAAAAGATTATTCCCTGAGCATCCCCAAAGAGAAAGAAATAATATGCACGATTTTCAATGACATTGGTATGGCAGTTTTTCCAATCTTATGTAGTGGAACGTTGGCTGTGGGGCATGAGCATGAGACGAGTGCTAAATGGAACTGCAGATGCTCAACGCCTCTCAGGATCAGGCCTAAGACTTTTTACTTTGCATTTTAGTTTTATATTAGTGTGTCAAGTTGAAATGGACATGAAGCAAACATACAGTTACATAGCCTCTGACTATTCAGCAGTGAGAAAGAGTGTGTTCGACTTACACAAGATTTAAAGAACAATGCATGCCTATGCTTATGTATCTGCAAAACAGCTCATTTTTAACCACAGCTCACTCTACCAAAGTTTAAAAAAATTAATTATGCATTCCAAAACTGAATTTGGATAAAAGACAACATAAGTCATTTACAGTTAGAAATCATTATCCACAGTTTATGTACATACCACTCACTATAGAATACGACATTCTAGAAAACTCAGGAGAGGGAAACATTCCATTTTGTGACCATAAGGATTTTTCATGCAGCAATGCCTTTCAGCACAGCTATTACCAAGATTTTGCTTTAAACACACCTTTTCTACTGAAAGTCTGATACCTCACAGCAGCTACTTGGGCCACATGATACTTCATTGTATGGTACAGATCAATAGTGTGTAACAGCAAAAGGCTGACTGGCTGCAAAAAGCAATAGAAAAAACATGCAAGTTTTGGGGCAAATATATGCCAAGAATCAAAAGCACTAGGAATAAGTAAGGAGCTGTCAGAAGTTTAAAAAGCCTAAGAATATGGGTTCATACTGTAAGGTTTTTTGCTCTGGTTTTACACAGGGCATAAAATTGTATCCTTCAACATTAATTTGAAATTTGGCATTTGTAGTTCAAGGTAAAAATAAATCCTAAGCTTTTGTGTTTTCAGATGCCTCTTGTGTTCCTGTAACTAAAAAAGGCTGCCCTTTAAAAGCACTACAGGCCATTACCCTAAAACATAGATTAGTGCTTTTGTTTGGATTTTCTCTTAGATTTATTCCCATCGTGAAAGCTGTGGGTGATGGCAGAGCAGGGCTGCAGCTGTGGCCTTTCTTTCTGTAGCATTTAGAAAACAAACGTAATTAGGGTTAGCATGCAGTAAAGGAGAACATGTTCCACTCAGAGCTGCTTTAAACAGTTGCAGTATTTTGCAGTGAACACAGCTTCATTTTAAAAAATACCTTTGTAAAAAAGAAAAGTACAACATTGCCAGTATGTGTATGAGTTATGATGGGAAACCCACATTCACAGACCAATCTGTTGGGGGAGGCGGGGGGAGCATCTGGAAAAATATTAAGTCTCCAAAGCAGAAGAAATATCACAATGCACCATAAGATTGAAAGAACAGTTACTTACCCTACCGTGGCTGTCTAAGGTTATGTAACACTATCAATCCCACTGTAGATGCACAGGTGCCTCATTCATGCGAGTTCAGATTTTTTTAATGGGAGTGTCCACTGGGGTCACATATGTGCACTGTGCTTTTTTGTGCTCCCATGCAAGGACATAAAGGGCAGAGTGGCCATGACTTTCCTTCATGTATCAAAGACTTTGTTTGCTTAGGAATCAAACTGGGGATGGCGGACAGGTCCGGGAATCCACACTAACACCATCTTGAAGAACACTGTTAACACAGGGTAACTGTTCTTTTTTCTTCGAGTATGGGTCTGTGTTGATCTGACTGGGAAGCAGTACCCACCCAGGATGGTGGGAAATGAAGAATTTCAGCTATACCCAACAGTGATTGAAGTATTGCTCTCCTGAAGTTGGACTTACAGCTACGCCCGAGGCATAGCATTTGAGAAAGATCAGTGGGCTGCTCCATGTTGCAGACTTGATGTTTTATGGAAAAGATACACCAGCCAGATGGTAACACAGTGAGATGTATTGTGTTATGGAGAGTGCCCTTAATAGAGCTGAACAAAAGGTTGGTCTACTTTAAAATGCAATAAGTAGCCAAGGATCTTGGTATTGGGGCCTGGATAGGATCCAGACCATGTTGGACTGCCCTTACTGAGAACCATTTCTATTTAGAAGATTTTTCAGGTGGATGTTTTTCTCTCTGTATCAGGATTTTCTTGACCTATAGGGAGCAGTCCATGGTACTCAGCCAGCCAATAGCCATGCTACCAAATGCAGTAACTATGGGTCTGGGTAAAGCATCTGGCCACGGGACTGAGAGATCAGGTCTGGACAGTCTGGGAGCTGGATCCGGGATGGATGGTCATCTGTAATAGGTATATCAGCCAAAACTGCCTCAGCCCATATTAGCTACAAGAATGACCTTTTGATCTTGGAAATCACTCTGGGTATCAAGGGAATCAGTAGACAGGCATAGAGAAGTCCTCTCTTATACTTCAGGGGGGAAGGCATCTGGCAATAATCCTACAGTTAGACCCCATCTGGAGCAAAAGTTCTCATACTTGGCATTGTCTCTGATAACAAACAAGTATTATGGGGGTTCACTAATGATAGCATATCTGCATGGACCATTCATGATTGGGTATGGGTTACCTGCTCAGGAAGTCTGCTGGCTGATGCTGACTGCCAGGTGAGCTGCATCTCCATAGGACTTGTGAGTCCTTGCAGAGAAGGATTTGTATACCAAACACCTATCTACCAAGGATGTGTCTCTCCCCCAGACAGAACAGGCATCAATTATGCCCATCAATCAGGGGGATGTCAGTCACAGATCAGGCAGGGTTTAAACCCTGAGGGTTTAGAGCAGTGGTCCCCAAACTTTTTATGTCATGAGCCCCCCCTTACCCATAATGGACTTTGTCCACTTTCCCCTGGGAGCTGTGGTTGGGAGTGGGGCCAGAGCCGCAGCCAGGGCTGGAGCCTGAGCCGGAGCCGGGGCCGGGGCCGGGGCCAGGAGCACAGCTGCAGCCGGAACTGCAGCTGGAGCTGGATCTGCGGCTGTGGCCAGGGGAGAGCGGAGCTGGGTGACACTCCTTCCCAACCCCTCCCTGAGGGCTGGCCTGGGCCCCACTTTGCCCCCTCAAATGTTCCTCCGTGCCTCCTTAAGAGGGACACACCCCACGGTTTGGGAACCACTGGTTTAGAGTCTGTCATGATGGTTGGTGTGAGGTGTCTCACTCTGCTGTGCAGGGCTAGCTATTTTTTTTTGGAGGGGGAAGCATTATTAATATATGTTGTTTGCTATGTAGCTGTTGCTGTGATGGTCCCACGGTATAAGAGACCCCCACTATTGACTTGAAGAAGAGCCCTGTGGAGTTCAAAAACTTCTCTTCTTTCACCAACAGAAGTTAGCGCATTAAAAAGATATTACTTCACCCACCTTGTCTCTAATATTAACGTATGTTGTACAAAACACATTTCTCCCCAAACCTATTAAAGCTAAAATCAGAAAAAAAAAATTAAAAATAAAAAACACAACACACAAAAAAATTACCTTCTTTGACAATGTTGTCAGTGAAAAGGCTTGTCAATATGGCGGCAGGAAGTGTTCCATTGCCTAACAGGATCCCAGTGAGCATTGCTAACTTTGTCTGCTCCATTTCAGAAAAGGCTTTAAGGAACAACAGGAGCTGTGGATCAGATCAGACAAACAGGCATATCTGAGCCACAGAGAATGACAATGTGTCGTAAAGAACATTAAGGGCCAGATGATGAACCCCTTACTTCTAAAACAGTCCCACTGAAGTCAATGGGAATGCTAGTGGAGTAAAGTGCTACTCACCAGAACCATAACAGAATCTGGCCTGAAGAGTTTAGCATCACACATTGCCACATTTACAGGAAATGCAATTACAACAGATTCTCTCTGAGCTAAAATTCAAAATAATTTCCTAACTTAAGCAATACTGATATTCTTGATAAAGCTGACAAAGGAAATGCAGGAATCTAAGTTGCTTCTGAGACCTCATCATTCCCATTATTAATTACAGTAAGGCAGCAAATTGGTTTGAGAAGAAAATACAAGCTTTCCTGCTGTGTGAAGCAAAAGAAGATTGTGATTCAAACAGAAAACATAAGAAAATCTGAGATGAAGAGGACTAGAAGACTTATAAATATATGGGTGAGAAAATACTTGGCTATGCTGTTTTTTCCAAAGAAGGTGCAGACTGACTCCAGAGTAGCATGGCAGCTAACTGGTTAGCAGGAAAAGTTATTTAAAGAATGTTATCAAAACCAACAGATCCAGGTCGGGGAAAAATGGAATTTATATTTTATAGCACCAATCTAAAATGTGCATTTTAAATTGCATTTGTTTAATCTACTGTAACCGTGAATTACGATCAATAGCCACAGGAACACTGACATCAGGAGACCTATTAATATTCTGTATATAGAACCCAAAGTGTTCAGACAATAAGCACGCTGGAAAATGCCAATGGTAAAATAACGGCCAGGATCAAAACTCTCAGAAGCCAGAACATTTAGTGTGAGAGCTGAAATCTATTTTTAAAATATTCCAATGTAATGCCAGTGCAAATTATCTGATTGATGGCCATGGGGACTTAAGTCTTCTTTATCCAAGCCTATAAATGTGCTACCTGAAACGTAACCTTGAGAAAGTGAAAGTAATTCAGAACTTCCAGTTTGAGACTGCCAGCAAAGCTGTTAGTAAGAGGGAGGCATCTTTAGTTTTCCCCTACAGATATTTGCTTTTCCTGCTACATCACCCATCTCTTTGGTCCCCATTTTGGCGAATAAAGAAGGAGGATTATGTATACCCCTTGGAAGCCAAATTGGGTGCATTCCCCATTTTAGCACTTCAAACCAGTATTAATTTCTGACCATCCTACTCTTGATGTGCCGCTTGCATTGTTGTGCATGTGACTTACAAAAATCCCTGGGACAAAGATTTTCAGTAAAGTTGCACCCATCTTCAGTAAAGTTGCACCCAATCACATCAGGTCTGAAGTCTGGGCAAAAAGCTGCTATTTTTAAAGCCACTACTACTGACAGCAGAGTTCTACACTCCTATAGGCTGCACAGAGAGGGAGATTATAAAGGGAACAAACATCTTTAACTACCAAAGCACTAATAATAATAGGAACACATTGCTATTATTCAGAAACATTTTTTCACAAACATTTGAAAAATGACACAGGGAAAAAACTCTGTTACATCTCTTTCCATAAAAAAATAATGTATTATAGTATTAAAAACCTACAACATTAATATTTATAAATCCTTCTGAATTTCAGAAATCTACAAATTGAACTTTAGCATTTCTTGAAAGGTTATTGCAAGATCTGAAGTCACATAATATTGTTTAAGTGTTTTCTGTTTCTTCTCACACCACACCCCCAACCAAACATTCTTCTTACAAAGGTCTTTTGGGACAGGTTCTAATTAAAAAGTTATTTAAGTTTATTACATTTCAATACAATATCTTTGGGGCAGGGACCTTGTCTTCCTGCTTGCAAATGCCTAATACACTGTTGATGCTGTAAGAATATTTGAACTAATAAAGTTAAAAAAAAGATAGCTCTGAGAACCTTATGTACAGGATCATTTTCTTAGTTCCAGGGTATTATTATACAATCCTCATTTAGCTGCAAAATGCAGCCTAAATTAATTATTATGGAAAAACTTCAAAATCTTTAATTAACCCACTTAGGAACAATAAAAAAAACCACCAAGATATTCAGATCTAAGCTGTTGTTAAAGTAATCGGCAACGAAAATCTGTAAGAGCTCTTCCTTTACTTAACACTGTTACTAACCTCTGTTGGGGAGTTACAAAATGCCCAAGTTATTTCAGAAGAGTTCCGAACTTCCCACTGGGTTCTAAGTGGTTTATAACCTACTGATAGACTGTATTTGGTTCTGAAAGTAAATTGGTTCCCAATATGAAAAACAAGAAGTATGACTGACTCCAGTACTATATTCGTAGCACATCTAAAACTCCTACTTATTTCAGTGGGAGTTTTAACTGCACAATGGGCCCAGGATCAGGTCTATTGTGCTGTGTTACAAGACTTTTTTTTTTAAACCTAAAGTGAAGTTCTGTGCAGTATAAGCTATCCACACATATCCTATGTAAACAAAAAGGTATATGGACTTCTCTTGTAATCTGGAAAAGCACAAAGATTGAGAAGACTGTATTCCTCCATCCACCTACAAAGTGCAGTTATTCCTGAATAACCCCACTTCCTGAAGTGTGTTATTGCTTTAAGATTCACAGAATTGTTTTAAAAATAGTTGTCAGCATTGCAAAATAAAGCACTTTACATATCCACAGAGAAGCACAGCAAGCTACCTACAATACCCTATGATTGGGTCAGTTCTGTTCTACTCAGCATCTTATGCCTAATCCATATTTGATCTCTCAGAAAGCCACCTTTCCGGTATCCTTCTACATAGTTTCAGAGCAGTTACTTTCATTAGGGAAAGAGGAAAAATGACCCAAGTTCCTTGTACCATATCCCACTACTTGCACATACTCCTGTACGCCTCATTTACATTTACTGGTAAATGTACAAAGATCTACAGATCTGCCTTTAGCACGATGTTTATAATATTCTTCCCTCCCTCCCCCGCTTCCATGACTGGAGGGATGTTAACAGGCCACCTCACCTTGAATGGTCTTTTGAAATATGTGTTAACTATTTATGCTAAACAATCTGTGTTCTACCTTGTATTTAGCGGTGACACTCAGAGTACCTTTCCTAGATCTGAGGAAGAACTCTGTGGAAGTTCAAAAGCTTGTCTCTCTCACCAACAGAAGCTAGTCTAATAAAAGCTATTATCTCACCCATCTTGTCTCTCTTACTTGGGCTGTGACAGTTCACCAGGTTGCCTATTTACATACAGGATCTGTGAATTACTGGCATGAACTTTAACTGACAATATTAATAATAGAGGGTTAGCAAATTTAATCACTGTGCAAGGACACCCTTTCCAACAATTTTTGAAATTCCTTGCATGAAATAAAAGTCTAGATTAAAAATTGCTCATCAGAGAGAAATTGCTACTGAAATCTGTGGCATACTTATGCAATTGGGAGAAAGTCCTTATAAAAAAATCCTCTTTTTTAAGTCTCTTTTTCAATAAGATTTGAAAGCCAAAAGCAGACATGAAATGGAAATGCTTCTAAAGGTGCACAGGACTATCAGTGATCTTTTGTAATAATTATGAACAGGAAGAAATATAATATGACCCAGTGAAAGCAAGCACTAGAGTGCACATTGCCACCTGAGCCAATCTCACCTAAAAAAAAAAAAAAATTAAACATTCCCCAAACACCACCTGCTTGAGTAAAGTGAGACTGATGGTCTGGCCCTGATTTTCAGCATGACTTTTCCTACCCCAGTGGAACTTTCCACCAGCACTACCTGAACACTCTAAATTGGATGATGCAACTGCCAGAGTATCAATTTCACTGCTGGGACAGTCACAAACCATTTCTTGTGGTATCATCAAGGCATCACTTCTCGTGTCTTTCTAAGAGTAATGTAGATTTATCTCCCTTTTCAACTACCAATTTCCATAGGAACATGTTTTAGGAGAAATCCTGTTTATCAACATCCAGGCATGCATTTTATTGCACATTAAGGAAGACACAGTAAATATTTGATGGGAAAAGGTCTAACATACTGAAATACCACCACAATAAATTACTCTATAGGTTGGATGGTGGCTACTTGCAGCGTAGGTGCACAAAAAAGAACGAAGTGGACACAATGAGCCTTCTTTATGATCCAGTACAAAGGGCAACCATGGTGCTACTAGGGAGCACAGGCCCTAACCCTTGCCAGCGTCCTCATGGGTTCCAGTTCTCTGAAATGGGATGGAGAAGAGAAGGGTGCCCCTTCCCTCTCCCCTGGCACTGGCAAATAGAGCACCAGAGTAGGCTCTTGATAGCTCTCATCCAACTACTAATCTAACCCAGCCTGATATCTAATTAAATTGTGGGGCCTGAGAAGACCACAGCCTGGGGAGGTACGGCTGAAAGGTACCGGTAAGTCTTATTTGTTAATCTGGAGTAAGCAAAAATAGCCAGATTTGCAGTCCTGGAGACTAATACCCTCCAGTAATCCCCAAGGATTAGCGAGCAGTAGTGCAAGATTTCCCTCAGGGCTCTGACAACACGCTTCAACCCTAATATCAAACAGCCACCATGAAGGGTAAGAAAAATATTTCCACACCCAGTTAAGTGTTGGAATAATAAATTTATATAATTTAAATTATAAATTATATAATTAAATAATAAATAAATGTGTTAGTCTCTAAGGTGCCACAAGTGCTCCTTTTCTTTTTGCGGATACAGACTAACACGGCTGCTACTCTGGAATCTCTACTGACATTGCTGACAAGGGTAACTATAAATCTTTTTTCAGCTGAGTTACTTGCCACTGGAGGTGGGATTGATACCAGTTCACATGTGCTAGAACACCAGCAATCCATTTTAGGTAACTACTTTATCACTACTAATTTGAACTGATGATTATCAATCCTTTTTTTTAAAAGCTTCAAATTACTTTGTATTGACCATAACCTGTAACTGGCATGATTGTGCAATATGCACTCTTAAAAATGCACAAAACTCGAAGTGAAGCAAATTACAAAGCAAGTTAAAAAGAAGAGGCAGTTTGAAGTGACATGGTATTCCTTTGTTAAATATGCAGAACGCTTTCTGTAATTTGAATGCAATGAGTCAACATTTCTCATTTCAATGATTAAAATAATTAACAGCAAGAACATCAGATTTGTGTAGGGAGCAGAGGTAAATTGAGTTCTACAATGAGTGATGCACTAAGCAATCAGCATCAGTTAAAAGGTATATGGACCACAACTATAAAAATAGCCTCGTGAACAAGGAAGAATGTGCAAATAAGAGCCAATATCCCTTCACAGATTTCTTCAGCCTTCCATGTAATTCAGTAAATGCCACAATTCAAAACATGACCACCACATTCACTGAAGTCTAAAGTAAGCAAATACAACAACTCTGCCGATGTGATACTTGCTCTTACCATGTCACAGACATGCACTCAAAGCCTCCTAAACACCTAAGGGCTCATTCTGCAACCTATACACACCAGACTAGTCACAACTCATACAAGCAGTCTCACTTCAATGCGTGGTAGATTTGCATTCGCTACACAGAAAATATATACTAGGAGTTTGATACAACTCTGGGTTCTGTGGATATAGGGCCTTGGTGGTGAAATTCATCCCAATGAGTGCTCTCCAGGTGGTTCCACAGCCATCAAGCACCACAGGCTGAGATGAGAAAGTAGCGGGCACAGGTAGTCAGGGGAGCCAAGGATGCACTGACTCAGCACGTGCCCTGGACAATCTCCACAGGCAGTGCTCTTATAGCGCCTCAGTTACAAACTAAAGCTACCACTTCGGGGAGTTGCAGTTTGCACTCTCTGACCCAGCCAAGTTAAATCAAGACAAGAATATGCAGTTACTTTGGACAGAGGGTAGGTGATATTAAGTCCAAAGAGATACTGGCACCAACATTACCTTTTTGATTTCCTCTTCAAATGCCTTTTCCAGATATTTATATCTCCTGATTAGTTTATTGAAGACCTAAATACAAAACAGATTAAGTTAGAGAGATAAAAACAGCGTATTTTATAAGTAGGGGGCCAGGAACTAGCACGGTCTCCGGTAAGTCAATAAAGAACACTCATAACTTATCTGTGATAAAAACCTTGGAATACAGATTTTTTTTTTTTTTTTTAAAAAGATCTATTCCAGCTCTGAGGAGAAAGTAGGGATTAGTGGCTTCTTATGCGTTTATGTCTTATTATACGATTTTCTTTTAGATATGACCAAATACACTGCGTTTCCAGGAAACTAGCAGCTACCCAGTACAACAGGTGTTGTGCGCATTTGTGTGACAATCCCTTGTCTCACAAGCTACCATGACAAATGTTCTGATTCCCAACCTCTCATCCCTGTTCCCCTCTCTTCTCTCTCTCTCCAGTGCCCCTACTTCCCTTTTTACCCCATTCATAGCTCCATTTGCAGGAGTGAAACAATGAGGATGTCCTCACTTTGCATACATCCTCTAACAACACAGCTGCCTGAGAAGGCTGGGGGATTGAACAAATAGAGGGGGGCCTGCAATGCCATGATTTTAGGGCTGAATACCTTTAGTAGATGCAGGCTTATTAACAAAGACCTTGACACAAAGTATCATAAAATGCTTTATGATCAGAGGGAGAGGCAGAATACTTTATAGTTATTATTATTTACAGTAAGTTATTTTAAAAATCTTTTCAGGAACAACTATGCAAGAAACCAACAGTCAGTGCTATTGGAGCGTAACATTAACATTCTGGTAACTTTCAGATTATTTTAATAGGACTGTCAAGGTTCCTTCCCCACTCTGAACTCTAGGGTACAGATATGGGGACCTGCATGAAAGACCCCCGAAGCTTATTCTTTCCAGCTTAGGTTAAAAACTTCCCCAAGGTACAAACTTTACCTTGTCCTTGAACAGTATGCTGACACTACCAAGTGTTTTAAACAAAGAATAGGGAAAGAGCCCACTTGGAGACGTCTTTCCCCAAAATATCCCCCCAAGCCCTACACCCCATTTCCGGGGTAAGGCTTGATAATAATCCTCACCAATTGGTACAGGTGAACACAGACCCAAATCCTTGGATCTTAAGAACAATGAAAAATCAATCAGGTTCTTAAAAGAAGAATTTTAATTAAAGAAAAGGTAAAAGAATCACCTCTGTAAAATCAGGATGGCAAATACCTTACAGGGTAATCAGATTCAAAACACAGAATCCCTCTAGGCAAAACCTTAAGTTACAAAAAGACACAAAAACAGGAATATACATTCCATCCAGCACAGCTTATTTTACCAGCCATGAAACAAAAGAAAATCTAACGCATTTTCTAGTTAGATTACTTACTAACTTAACAGGAGTTGGGAGGCTGCATTCCTGATCTGGTCCCAACAAAACCATCACACAGACAGACAGACCCCTTTGTTCCCCCGCTACCTCCAGATTTGAAAGTATCTTGTTCCCTCATTGGTCATTTTGGATCAGGTGCCAGCAAGCTTACCTTAGCTTCTTAACCCTTTACAGGTGAAAGGGTTTTGCCTAGGGCCAGGAGGGATTTTATAGCACTGTATGCAGAAAGGTGGTTGCCTTTCCCTTTATATTTATGACAGAGTATCTTAATTCAGGGCCCCAAACATTTTGAACTTTTCATACAGACCCTTGCATTTCTCACTCCCCACTGAAAACCCCCTCCTCGCCTCAGCAGGTTCTTCCCATGTCTGTATGTGTATGCATACTTATACTTTTCTGGTACAGTCAGAGAATAAGCAGAAGGGGTTCTCCCTTCTCCCCATACTGGCATCTTCAGGAACATCTCCCATCTATTCTCAGTTTGTTTTTAATTCTTATAGGGGATGGCTGGGAAGAGATGGCAGTGGGCCTTTCCCTGTTCTCTCCTGAGGGGACAAAGGTCTCCTCCCACTAGGGGCTCCCCAATTCTCTCCCCTCCCCTCAAGATACTCCGATCTTTTTCCCTCAGATCCACGTCTGCCCTCTATTCATGTCTGTCCTCCACTTGTCTGTTTCCCTCTCTTCCCCTCCCATAACTGCCTCCCTATCATCTGTCCCCATTCTGTCTCTTCATCCTTTGTTCCCCATCCTCTCCATCTGACTGCAGCACTGGTAAAAGGTGGAGGGCAACTGACTGCGACTGTGGCTGTACTGGCCTGGGTGTGTTGGGTGTTGAGAGGAGAGAGGTTGAAAATCAGTGCTCTCACCACTGTGCAGAGCCAGCACCAGGCTTGTGACTGACATGGCATTCGACTGGGAGGGGGAGCTGGTTTACAATAAATATCATTTAATTTTTTTGTTGTTGCCAGGTTATTGTGACCTGGAGGTAAATGACAGAATCGGTTTATTCCAATAATGTATTTTTAAAAGGCTGTTAAGAGCCTATGACTGGCACGCTTGTTGCAGAGCAGCAGAAAATGAAATAAAGGATGAATTATGGCCATGTGAAGAGGCATACTGATATGGAAATGTATAGTTAATTAAGATGTGGAAAGAGAATGAAAATCATGAGCTAGGGTTTTTAAGCCTTTTGCGTTTTAAAAAATAAGAAAATGTTACATATTATGACACAATTTGTAATGTGGAGAAGTGAAGTGTTTTGGGATACTTAGGGCATGTTTACATTGGAATTAGGCACCCGTAGCTGGCCCGTGCCAGCTGACTCTGGCTCGGGCTAAGGTGCTGTTTAATTGCAATGTAGATGTTCAGACTCAGGCTCGAGCCAGAGCTCTGGGACCCTTCCCTTCCACCTCGTGAGCCCGAGTCAATCAGGTGACTTGCAGGACTTTTATTCTAGTGCTGACATAACCTTATAATGTGCAACAACAGTGTCTACAAGGACCAGCTAATGTGCAACATGTTAGTGCACTTTAGAAATCATACCCCTGCTGTGCACACAGGGCTTGTCTACACAGAGCAACAAAGTGCCATGCAAGTAGTGGCATTACTGGCACATTTAAGAATCCTCAAGTATGCACTGGCATAAGACTGGCCTGCAGGATTAAAGCAGTTCTTGGAGTTACTTTAACAGTTATTTTAGCCTTAATTTCACTCCTTCATGCTAGAGTCAAACCTCTGTTTCCTGTTAGTCCAAAGAGTTGGCAGAGTCAGTAATGGAAGCATCAATTCAGTTATTAACTACAAATACTGATTTGTTTTGCTGACTTTTGGTAGAACTACTTTCACTGTGCTGCATTTCTAGTCCCTTCAAACCTCTTGCCTCTACACTTAAATGCAGATTCTATTGTAAAGCTAAATTTCTGATATTTCCAGTTATCATTACCAGACAACTTAAAAATCTATCCACGCTGAAGAACCAAAAGCAACAATTTTGTGAAATAAATATTATGAATAAAGATATTCTTAGAAAGAGTGGCATATTCTTAGCAAAGGGTGGAGTGGCTAAACATGTTGCTTGCTACACAAAATAATTTCACTCCTCCAGGTAGACTTTTTAAAGTAGCCTCACACTTCTCAGCCAACATATGCTATTCAAACAATTCTTGAAGCTAGTGCCCTTTGTATGAGTCTTGTGAGGGTCTGTAGATCACCTGAACACGTTGGCAGGGATAATGGTTCTTATTCTTTCATGTACTGTATCATGTTACAATAATAATTAGATACATAAATACTATTTACAAAATAACAGATACTGTAATTTATTATATCTGGACACACACTAATGAGATTTCATTTTTTTAAATTTAGTTTTACTTACATGCAGAATTATAGGGTGCTCATATTTTTCTGTAATGACAATGCTCATCCTTATTAGAATATTACAGATTATTATGTACTGCTATTAGTCATCATTATTTGTCATACTCCACTAAGGAGTTACGTGATTTGAGATATTCTTGCATAACGTCTTAAGGTTCGTTGCTTATTTGTATTTATTTCACATAGGCCTATTTTTCCAGTCCTGCAAACTCTTACTCTTGTGAATAACCTTTTCATAACATGTAGAGGGCCACTGACATCAACTGGACTATTTGTGCAAATCCCGATTACCTCCATGAGGAAGAGTTGTAGGATTAGGCTTTAAATTTTTCAGTCATTACTCTTATGTTCCGTATGTTAATTATATATAAACTTGCTAAAACCTCTAATAAAATAACTCTGTATGTAGAAAAGGACAGCACAAACTAAAGAGAAGAATAGGAAATGATTGACAAACCTCACAAGAAATATGATCAAAGATATATGTTTGACAGCCCTATAATTGTCTTTTAAAGGAATTGTGACCAGATAATTCTCGAAATCCTTTTTCTTATCTAATGCTTATAGATTAGAGGGAACAAAGGCAGATTAGTACCTAACTATACTACTTAACTCCTTTGTAGTTAGTCTACTGCATGGTCAATCTGCAGATTTATTGCTATTAGGGGATGTTAGATGGGGTGGGTTCTGAGTTACCCAGGAAAGAATTTTCTGTAATATCTGGCTGGTGAATCTTGCCATATTTGGGGTCGGGAAGGAATTTTCCTCCAGGGCAGATTGGAAGAGGCCCTGGAGGTTTTTCGCCTTCCTCTGTAACATGGGGCATGGGTCACTTGCTGGAGGATTCTCTGCTCCTTGAAGTCTTTAAATCACAATTTGAGGACTTCAATAGCTCAGACATAGGTGAGACGTTTTTCACAGGAGTGGATGGGTGAGATTCTGTGGCCTGCGTTGTGCAGGTCGGACTAGATGATCATAATGGTCCCTTCTGACCTTGGTATCTATGAATCTATTATCTTTTCTAATGATTTATAAACAGACTACAGTGGCCTGTCAATAATGGGTTTCCCTTCCTACCCTGACCTGAGCATAGTTTCGGATAGTGTCATGATCTTCATCTGCAGAAAATACACAGTGGCTGGTCATCTTGGTCTTGTCATTGTCATCTATGCGTGTCCCTCCAGGGGCTAAAAAGAAAGATAAAAAGCACAATAAAGATGCATTGTTCAGATAAGGCCCTTAAGACTTACTAAAGCTTATAACCTCTTAAGTATCACTGAGTTCAAGGTGGAATGAAAATGGGCATCAGATGCAACAGCAAAAAGAAAAAAAAAAAAGCCAGAGCACTCATCGATTGTGGTGGCATTTGGCACGTATAGAGAAAGGAACGATCAGGATTTCCACACTGTGCCACATCCTACAGACCACTGAGCCTACAGAGGATTGAGAGTCATGACAAGAAATCTTGGCTGGCTTTGAGTGGTGAGTGCAGGATGCGGTCCTGTGGGGATTACTGGTTGGTGCCAACTACCTGATAAACATACTGGCACTTTTGTGTTAATTTTCATCCCTGTTTGCAAACATATTAATGTAATCTTTTCTGAAGAAAACTATTAGCACATCATCACTTGTTTTAGAACTCAGAAAATGCTGCTAATCTCTTTACTGCTTACCATACCTAGCGAGTACATTTAACCATATTAAAACTAGCTTTATTGGCATCAGATCTGTTCAGTTATGGATGTGGCATAGTAAAGCAGAGGTAGGCAAACTACAGGCCGAAGGCCACATCCTGCCCACGGGACCATCCTGCCCGGCCCTTGAGCTCCGGCCGGGGAGGCTAGCCCCCGGCCCCTCCCCTGCTGTCACCCCCTCCTCTACAGCCTCACTTTGCCACGCCTCCTGCGCTCTGGCCCGCCGCTCCTGCCAGGGAGTGCAGCGGCGTGGCTGCGAGCACAAGCGGCGCGGCAAGGTGAGGCTGCTGCTCTGAGCGGCATGGTAAGGGGGTGGGGAGGTTGGATAAGGGGCAGGGAGTTCTGGGGGGTACTCAGGGGACAGGGAGTAGGGGGTAGGGAGCAGGGGGGGGTTGGATGGGGTTGGGTCCCGGGGGGGCAGTCAGGGGACAAGGAAGGGGGAGTTGGATGGGTTGGGTGTTCTGACGGGGGCAGTCAGGAGGCGGGAAGTGGGAGGGGGCAGCGGCCAGGCTGTTTGGGGGGGCAAAGCCTTCCCTACCCAGCCCTCCATACAGATTCACAATCCCGATGTGGCCCTTGGGCCAAAACGTTTGTCCACCCCTGTAATAAAGCTACAAGCAAATAGCATAGCTATACACGCTTGCGTGACCAAACTCCAATCTGCACGTACTAGTATTTGCAAGCAAATCAAGGGGTGCATGTAAACATTCAGAGTTGGCACATACTTTTGATAGTCTAGCTTTTAAGTATGAAATTATTTTAAACCCCCTTATATATTTAATACCAATAACTGATGTATTTTAAGGAGACCATTTATAATTATACTAACTATATTGTATGTCGATACAACATAATAGTAATTTAATCCAGGAATAGGTCTCAGTTCAAGCATGTCAACAGCCCCAAGAGAATTAGGGTCATAAACATTTTGTCTCCTCTACCATTTTTATGCCGATATATTAACACTAAGTTTCAGGGGACAGAGGTGAGAACTAACTTTTTTCTAGAGGAAAAAGCAGACAGTGAAAATAACTAGATAAAGTTATGGTGTGAAAAAGGTTATTGATACAGGTTTGTTATCAAGCACCCCAAACAGAATGTGAACATAAAAGATGCTAAAAAAAAGTGTCTCCGGTAAAATTAATATTGAAAATATAGACATTATGTTTTAGGAAAATCTACTAAATAGAAAATGGAAAAACACAGAGTTGTGATTCAGACGTAAGTGCTAGGCAGCTGATTATTTATTGAAAACTACTTCTGCCTACCAATCTTCCCCCAACAAATTTGTTCAAATTGTCTCTGGTTTTTTGTTTTTGTTTGTTTTTTAAATCAGCAGCTCGCTTCTGCATCATTACTATTGATCGCCCTTTCAACAGGCTGTCTTCATTTGTTTGTACTCCTTTCCCATTTGTAATCCATAAATCCTCAGTGCTGTCACGTCTTCAGGATACTCACAAGTTGGGACAGCATTTCTGAAGGTCTCAAGTTTGATTTTCCACTCTTATCCCAGGGGTCATGCAGCTGTATTTCAAGCTGGCTTTTGTAGCTATTGCATGGGTGGGAATGATTAGAGTGGAAATTTTCCTAGTACATCAAGGGCTCACATCTGTGCTTCAGCAGTCAATAATGCAAATTATTTGCTCTCAATTCTCCAGTTAGTGACACAATAGAGTTTTCATCCAGTACCATTATGCTGAAATATTTTGGAGTAGATTTGGGCTGATTGCAGACTAAATAAGTACCAAGATAGACAGAACCGAGGGTAGATTTAATAGCTTTCGCGGAGCAAAGTGTACACTATTTAACCACATTCCTCCACTAAAATGTTATGTACAGAAATTTTCTAGCATCAACAAGATGCAAAAAAGTTTACCTAACATGCTGCCAGCTATCAGGATATCAAAGAGTGTGTCAGCATAGCGACGATAATCTAGCCTGGAGCCTGTTGAGTCCAGAAACTTGGCTACAGCCTCCAGGTCATTCCCAGCTTCATTGAGGCCTTGGATGATTGTATCCCTGAAAACTGTGGGTTCAAATTTCTCCTTTTCATCTAGGAGAGGAAAAAAAAACCAAACAAACCAAAAAAGTCAACCAACCATCTATCTGCTTAGATTTACATATTAGACAACAACTGACACGTCTGTGATATGGGAGCATAACATATGTTTCCCATTCTGGTTATCCTATTTCAAAAGTATCCGCTGGCTTTTGTTAGCTCTGGGAATGGTACTTTTTCTTGCCCCTTGTTTTTCAAAAACTAAAAAGGAACATGCACAACCAACCTTGGGAAAATGAAATAGAAGAAATCCATTAATGCAAAATCATATAGTATATATGTACAATTTTCTATTGATATTTCTCTTATTAAATGTATTCCTCAATATGTTACTATATATGTTGTTAAATTAGATGATAAAAATACATGCTATGTAAAGCTACCTAGTTAAAAGTGCTGCATGAACTTTCAGTTTTTCATTTTCTGATGTTCTTCTTTGAATTTTAACTGCAACTTAATTCATGCACAGACATATGCAAATCTTGGGGAAGAGCAAAGATCACAGCAGCCAACAAACTCTTATGTTCTATGAGCACAGAGGAGTGTGGGTGGGAGGCTGCATGGTGTCATCAGTTGTTCCCCAGATTCACAGAGAGCAGCAGCTCTTGAAACAGAGAAGAGTGACAGTCAACGATGCAAAAAGAAAAGGAGGACTTGTGGCACCTTATTTTCTTTTTGTGGATACAGACTAACACGGCTGCTACTCTGAAACCAGTCAACGATGCATCACCTAGTTCAATCTCCAGGAGAAAACCTTGATTAAAATGCTCACTTTGACCTTCAGACAGCATCTTTAAGTCACGGTCCTTAGTCATAATGGATGCCCTTGCAAATCCAGATTAAGTTTAGACATATCCAGTGGTGAGCTGGAGCCAGTTCGCACTCGCGTGCGAACTGGTTGTTAAATTTAGAAGCCAGTTTAGAACCGGTTGTTAAAGGGGTGGGCAAACTCCGGCCTGCGGGTCACATGCAGCTCGCAGGACTGTCCTGTCCATCCCACCTGAGCTCTCAGCTGGGGAGGCTCCCCTGTGAATTTTTACTCACCCGGCAGCACTCCGAACCCTCAGTGGCATTTTGGCGGCGGGTCCTTCACTTGCTCCGGGCCTTCGGCGGCACTTCGGCAGCGGGTCCTTCAGTGCTGCCGAAGACCCGGAGCGAGTGAAGGACCCGCCGCCGAAGTGCCACCAAAGGCTTGGAGCGACTGAAAGAACTGGTTCTTCAGTTTCTGGCAGCTCATCACTGGACACATCCACATATACCTCCTGTTGCTTCTTTCTTTGATAAACTAACAAGCTGCTAATAGGTAGCCATGTACATCTGAAACCTCCCAGCAAAGCAAGTCCTGATTTACACTCATGTTCTTTGAATGGCTTATGTCTGAAAGCATGTCTACACTACAATCTTAAATCAACTTACATTAGGTCGACTTACAGCCACTGCAGTAATTACTACAGTGGCTGATGTCCACACTATCCTCCTTCTGTTAGTGGTGTGTGTCCTCAGCAGAGCACTTCCACTAACTGAAGAGAGGAAGTGTGGGGGGCTGAGAGCCAGGGCTCTCAGTTCCATGCATCTTCCCACTGGGAGCCCTGCTGTCCCCCTGGGCTTCTCGCCTCCCCACTCCCTGCCCAAAGCTGGGGGAACAGCCACCCTTGGTTTCTCGCCACTGGCGGGGAAATTAGCACCTGGAGCCCAGCTGGCTGCCATGTTCCTATTGGGGATCTGAGAGCCTGGTCGGCTGCTGAGCTCCTAGCGGGAAGCGAGGAGACAGAGGGCAGCCAGGCTCCCAGCCAGGAGCATGGAGCTGGGACTCTGGGTGGCAGCAACACTCCCCGTGGGGAGTGGGGAGCCCGGGCAGCAGCCCAAGTTGGGAGCCTGGGTGGCAGCCTGGCTTGTAGCAGAGACCCAGCGGAGCCCTGTAATTGACAAGACAGCCAACAGCTGTTGTAAGCGACGCAGTGTCTACACATACTCTGCATTGTCCTAACTACACTGACATAACTCCACCTCCATGAAAGGCGTAGGGCACTTACATTTGTGGGACAGGCTATAGTGTATACTCTGGCATAATTAGGTCAACGTAAGCTGCCTTACGCCAACCTAACTGTGCAGCATAGACTAGGCAGGAGGGTGTTTAAACAGAAACAATCATGAATTTTACATAGCATTTTGTCATCTGTTTTAGATATTGGTGGCAAGTCATAACAGCAATAACAGCAATAATTACTTAAGAATATAATAGACTCTGCACATGAAGGAAAAAACCTCTCATTTACTAGTAAGAATGAAGATCTATTAAAAACCTAATCAAGTAAATGGCTCTGCCACTGCACCCTTAAATCTAGCTCTACTCAAACTACACCTCCTATTGGAGCAGGACCCAGAAGCTGTGGGGCATGTAATGAAAATGCTCTGCAATGGGGATTTTGGCAGGGCATTAAAGGGAATGGAAAGAAAAGAGAGGGCTTTGTGTGAAAGTTAGTGCTCCATGAAAATTCACTGAAAAAACCGTAGCAGAGTCATTCTGAGTAACCATGCTGCTTATTCACAGATATCTTGAGCCTCCTAGGGTCCTTCCCAGCATGGACTATAAAAAGCAATCATTTCACCTTAACTTGTAATAATGCCCAAAACGTTTTTATTTGTGCACAAGCAGCACAATAGCAGGAGCAGAATCATGAATGCTACCAAACAACCAAAGGAAGTACAAACTATTCGTCCTTGGGGAACCACAAGAGTATGTATTATTCACATGATATCAACAACATGCTAGGTGCTTTACAGACAGTTATGAAGACAAAGTCCGTACCCCTAAGAGTTTTAAACGTATAGATATTTTTATATTTTTCAGACAGGCAGGTTTAAAAATACCCATTTAATTTAATTTGGAAGGCTTTACTGTGTCTAGCACTATGGGGGCTGCGGACCACAGTGCAACACAAACACCACCACCACTAATATTTTCTACAGTAGTTTTAAACCCAGATACTTTTCCTGCCTACCAGCCTTCTTCCCATCTGGAACGTTCTACTATTTTCTTCTCTGTTGCAATCTAATGTGTGTAGGAAGAGGATTTTTTTTTAATTGCCTGAAAGTGATACACACCATTAGTGAAACGTTGTTTTCCTAACAACTAATGTCCCTAGAAGTGATGTGCTGAACCAGCACAAAAAGCTGAATAAGAAGCTGTCATCCTGGAATAGGAACAGCATGTGAAGTTGTCAAGTGCATAATTAGGGCCAGCTAGCAGTTCCACTCATTTCGCTTCTAGAAGTCACCCTCTTCCCCTGGGTACACTTGCACCACATCATAAAATACGCTTGAATCTTACTCTTTAACAAATGAATCTTAACCCTTCAACAAAAGACTCACAAGCCAGGGAAACTGAATTCATTCCTCCACAAAATCCATCCCGTCCCCTTTCGGACCTCATTTTACTGTATGAGTGTTTATTTTGAATTTCTATTGAACAATTTTCTTCCTGAAGGGCACCTTTTGCTTCACTTTTGATTCCTTTTGCTTCACTTTTGATTCCTTTTGCTTCACTTCCTCCTGTGCTGCGTTTACCCATACTCACCAACTTTCTGGCTAATAGCATCTGCATGGTTCTTTAGTTTGCCAGACTGTGTGTTTCTGAAGGATATACTCCCATCTCCGGTATCACAGGAATAGATCTGGGTCTCATGGGCCTGCATGAAGCACTGCCAATATGCCACTGGGCCCATGTGACACCTACAGTGTTTTATGTGGGCATGTGTTTTTCTAGCCTGGTCAGGCACTGGTGATTTTGCTCCAGATCCTACCCCCTCTCACACTTCACAGGAGCCTGAAACAGAAAAGGAAAGGAATACTCTGTGCAGTCACATCTATGCTCCAATATAGTAGGCTTGCATATATCTGTGCCATATGCACAAATCCTGGTCTGATCCCAACTATTGCAAATAGGACTATTGAAAAAAAACAGCATTCAGTAGGAGTGTAGGAAAGACTGCACTGAGTAAGAGTTCACTAGAATTTTCCTATTTGTGCAAATAACCAAATAGTAGAGGCCGGAGTGCAACATTTAGCAACACCACCCAGGAAAAGCCCAAAGGGGGACTCCATCTCAGGGTATCACACATTGCAACACCACTCTAGTTCCCCCTGCCCCACTCTCCCTTCTTCTGCTTTTGTAATTTTAACTCCTAGCAACTAAAGCATTGTTAACAGATTAAGTTAGCAATTTCTTTAGTTGCCAGCAGACAACTAAGCTCTTCAGGGAAGGAACAGCATCTTACTAAATGTTTCCACAGCACTAAATACATTTGGAGTAATACAACATAACAGTTAAGCAGGAAGCAAGCTGAGAACCTGCCTCCTGAAAAAAAAAAAAACAGGCTTCTTCAAGGTTTTTCCAAGTTTGGCATCCTGAAAGCAATCCACCCAGAATCCAGTCACTTTGGCTTGGTCTACACTACAGAGTTAGATCAATGCAAGGCAGTTTGTGTCAACCTAACTCTGTAAGCGTCTACACTAAAATGTCATTCCTGCCGATGTAACTCACCTGCGATGCCGATTTAATAACTTCACCTCCATGAGAGACATTGCACTTAGCTTGACGTAGTTAGGTCAACGCAGTGTCCGTGTAGATGCTGCGTTACTTACATCGACTTTAGTAGCCTCCAGGAGGTGTCCCACCGTGACGGCTCTGGTCACCGTTTTGAATTCCACTGTTCAATGGCCGCAGGTACATGCCCTTCCAGGAATGCCAACAACCACCTTAAATTGTTTCTATGTCCCACAGCAGGCTAGCCTCCAAGGAATTGTCATGTTTCCCACAGCAACACTGGCAGGGTTGGGAGGTTGGCAGAGGGCAAGGGGAGCCCAAACAGACAAAACATAGCTGGGAAGAGAGTAGCAGCAATGGTTCCCATCAGGCTAAATCCTCTTCAGAAGTTGACATGCTAGAGCACCACATGGGCAGACCACGACTAATGGCCCTGGCCATTGAGGACCTTGAACTTGATTCTTGGGCCACTTAATTAGGGAAGGTTTGTTTTGCTGAGGACACATGAGAACTCCTTAAAAAAAAAAAAAGGCACTAAAAACAACAGTGCCACCAATGAAACATGCATAGGAGTGGCATAGTAAGCCATATATTTTAGCTATTAGCAAACTATCATAATTTATTGGAGGAGAGGTCAAGGGACATACAGCTCCAAAAAGCCTCTCCAGAAGAGAGGAACCAATAATTTAAAAGGATGCACACCGAAACTCATTGTAATTAGCTGCAAACAAACAATATCATGTAACTGTTCTGATAAATCCATTGTAAACCAGAGCAGTTAAAATCCCGGTAAAATTACAGATAATAGAATTAATTACTATAGCTGCCAGGATATAGCTATAATTCATATTCTCTCTCTCTCTCACACACACACACACACACACAGATTTTGCTCACAGTGGTTTCTATAGTATCACATTCATTATTACCAATTGTTTCTCTTTCCAGTTAAAGTGAACTAGCACCATTCCTGGTAAGCAGCCCTTTATTGGCCCAATTCCCAGACTAAACACACAACCTACAGCAGCCAATGATCTGTAAAATACATTATAAAATGCACTGTGCACTCATAGGTTATATTTCACTAGAATACCTTGGTGATTTTGGCAAACCTGGTGCCGGCTCATACCAAGTCCCCAGGCCTCAATGAACTCTGACAAATGCATAGCTGGAAACCAGTCTGGCTTACCTGTGCGGTAGTACTGTTAAAATAGATATTTTAGTTATAAGAATGTGTTTAATTTTATGGAATCTTATAGGATGCTGCATGTATTAATCCTATTTATAATATCCGTATCCCATATTCTAAAGTAATGTTTAAATGTTGGTTCTGCAACTTTAACAATGTTTGCTAAGACTGTAAATCCCACACAGTAAAGGAGAAGCATTTTACCAAGTGTGAAGTGCTAGTTTACAACAAGAGCGGTTATCTCCTCTCCCAACAAAAGAAGGTCTATAGGCATCAGAGAAGCCATTGTGGACAAAAGACTCTATAGGTTGAAGAGGGTAATGCAAAAGCCTTCATCCCATCACAGCTTGAACACTATGAGAAGGGAATAAAAATACCTGTTGAGAAATTGTTATCCCTATGCTGCTTGAACTTGAAGAGGCAAAGATTTCTAAGCATAAGCAAGGGATCTCCTCCAGCTGTCTAGTTTGAATTAGCCCTAAAGGGCTTATAAAACTTGCATATTATATCAGCTGTCATCATCTTTTGGAACCTAAGACTGTATCTCATTTTTGTGTATGTGTTTACCTGCTTTAGCCTTATAAACTCTCTTATTTCTGTTCTTGATTAATACCTTTAGTTAGTTTATGAAAGACTGGCTATAAGCATGGTCTTTGGTGAGAGATCTAGGGTGCACTTGGCCTGGGGTAAATGACTGGTCCTTTGGGACTGGGAGTAACCTGAATATTGTTGTGATTTTTGGTGTAAGGGACCATCTATCACAGAGGCAGGTTTGCCTGGGTGGCAAGATAGATTGGACTACTCACAGGGACTGTCTGTGGCTCCCTATTAAGGCTGTTATAGTTTCTGAGAAGTTCATACTTGTTACTTGGTTGATGAAATCTAAGTATAGAACACACCTCCAGTTTGGGGTTTGTGTCTGTTTCTTGACAGTCTGCCCTGATGTTGGCATTCATGGCCATGAGCTACTCCAGGCAGTGTGACAACCTTAATAAGTGGCATCAGCATTATTTAGACTATGTCAGGGTTCTTGGGTCTAATCATCACCCTGTCCTGTCATGTGGCATGGTCCTTTAAGAGGCTGGCAGGTTTGATACATATTTTAGAGACACACACACAAACCTGGAAGATGTTGGGTGAAAGGAAGTGGTCCCAGGAGTAAGAAATGTTTGCTGGGGCCAGGAGCTTTGCAGATAGGGTGGTACAAGGCTCTCCCTCTCACCTCACTAATTGGGGATGAGCAGAGAGAAGGGGACCAGCATAAAAGCTGCCTCCTCTCTCATAGCATTGCAGACACTAGGAGACACCAGCAGGGAAAGCTGGCCTGCTGAGAAGCCTGAAGTTTAAGGAAAAGGGGTCAACTGGCGAAGCTAGTAAAGGCTGTACAACTGGCTAATCTACAACCGAGATCCAGAGAAGAGAGCTGGGGAGACTCCTGTGTAAAGAGAAACTGCTGCAGTAATTAATACAACCCAGTTCCCAAGAGGAGAGCTGGAGTCTTCTGCTTAAGGAAGGACTGAAAAGGGGTAATCCTGAGAAGGGACCCAGAAGGGTTTCCAGATCAGAGACTGTTTCAGGTGCAGAAAAGCAGAGGCTCCTGAAGGAAGGAGTCATCGACCCTTAGTTGGACTAAGCCTAAGGCAACAAATACCCCTGGGAATATTTGAGCAAGGCTCTACTTGTGCTTATGGCTGTCATTAATAAATGAGACCCTCAGAAGGGAGGCACTGTTTGATTACAAAGATCTGTCTGGACTTCTTTGTAACCCAGGTGAAGGGAAGTTATACAGGGATCACCTGTGACACCATGCCTGACAGAAAGGGGGCACACTGGGTGACCCCTTTTCCATCACATAAATATAATACTTTCAAAATTTATGGAACCTTGAAAATAACGAGGGAAGATACTTGGTTATATTTAGACACATTTAATATTAAATTATTAAAACCCCATATGAAAAGGAATTTATTTTGTGGTATGTTAATTTTTTTAACGTGAATAAAAAAACAAACACTCTTAGAATCCATTGTCACAGTAAAAAATAAATACTGGAAAAAATGCATTCTTTAACTGTTTAAAGAATATTTAAGTTTTCAGACTGTTATCATAAAAGAAAGCACTATATGCCCATGGGATATTTGAGAGGTAGGAAGTTAGCTTCATTTTAGAAATCAGGGGCCCATTTTGGGAGATTGCGTAGATTTGACTCTAAAATCCTCATTAGCTGAAGTTCATTTCTGAACGCTGCTTGTCTTTTAAGAAACCCTTGGTAGTTGTGCTTTCTTAATCAAAAATGTGCCTTTACAGTGGCAGCTGGAAGAAGTGTCTAATCATCCTCAACCATTCTTCCTAATATCCAAATCTTCTGTAATCCTGGTTAAAAACTTGCTCTTCCCAGAGGCTACTGCACACTAATACAAACAAAGCCAAGCTGTAAGTGTCTTATATGTAATCCTAAATGTATACAAAAAGCATAAACTTTAAAAGGAGCAAAGAGTCCTGTGGCACCTTATAGACTAACAGATGTATTGGAGCATAAGCTTTCGTGGGTGAATACCCACTTCGTCGGATGCATAACCTTTAGTTACATTAAAAACACTACAGTATCCTTTACACTTTTGGGAGGATGGTGGTAGGTAGGAGGGGACACCTTAATCCTACTAAAGTTCAGTTACTCCATCTGCTCGTTTTTTCGTCCTTCAACATCTGCATTTCAAATGAGAGGACAGCAGGCAATGCTTTATATGACTGTGATAATTCTAGTCACCTTCATGAAAAGGAAAAAAAATAAAGCATTTATCCTACCCCTCTTCCTAGTTTTGAACCGCTGGCCTGTTAGCACCGGCTTCTGATGTTTATTCATAAAATTTCTGCAAGAGAAAGAAAAATAGTTTAACTATGTATATCAATTTAATCAGAGTACTTACAGACGACACGGTCATGTGACAGTAAAGCAAAAAAGAAATTCATAGAATCCAGCAACACTGATGAAAAATTCATGTAAAAATTAGTTTTCATTATTTTAAAGACAAACAGCACTATAATTTTAACATATTCTGATTGAAATTTGTTTCCCTGACAAAGCTTGGTTCATGACAATACTATAAAAATGGAAGCTTTCATTCTACACAGAAATTTACCAGAAAATAATCTCAAAAGTTATATTGTCACAATATCCTTTGTCTTGCCTCTATTTCAAGAAATGTAAATTAGAGTAATTAATTACAGTATCAGATAATGAGTCTCAGGACCAAAAATAATCCTAGCTCGAATAAGGGCTAGCTTTAACCAGCCATAGGATCTTCTGTAGAATCATGATTTGTAAATTCATGAGCTGTAGCTCACAAAAGGTTATGCTCAAATAAATTGGTTAGTCTAAGGTGCCACTAGTACTCCTTTTCTTTTTATATAAATTGGCATCATTGTAATAGAATTTCCTGATTTCAAAGATAAAAAACAAAACTAAAACCCAGCAACACTTAAGACTATATTGAAACCTTATTATCTGACCTAGGTAAGGGACAACAGGGTGTTTCACTGGCTCAGGAGCAGACCAAACTGTGATTTACAAAAGTCACAATTCCTCCCCTGACTGCCCCTCACTCTGAGGAGGGAGTAAATTACTTCACCCCTTTTCAGAGAGCAACTCACTCTTGTCTTGTGCACCCAGTCAACTACATAGGCTGGCAGGAAGGGGAGCACGGAGGCATGGATCCTCCCACTCTCTGCCACTTCACTACCTATTTGCTTGCAGGGAGAATAGCCCCCGCTGCCCTCATGAGCAGGCTAAAAATCTGAGCAAGAAAGCCAGGGGGAAACTGACTCCCGGGTATAGCCAACAAAGGGCTGCAATAATCTAGCCCTTAGTGATGGAAAAACAAATGACAACTCATGCCTTACAGAGTCCCATTGAAATCAATATGGGTTCTACAAAGATGTTTACAGGATCAAGTCTTTGGCAAATATTTCTTCCAAACACCAAATATATTTTCCTGTCCTATTCAAGTGTTTATAACCATGACTTGCATATTAGCTACTGAAGAACTGGGAAGAGATGTTATCGCCTTCTGTGTCCTGCACAAAATGGTACCTAGTTTTCCTCCATCAGCAATTTTGTATTTAAATAGATACTTGAAAATCTAGACGGCATTCCATTAAATAATATCAAGCTAGGACGAATATTGGGCCTAAACTACTGGAGAGTATCCCTTACATACAGACCTCAATTAATGTGAGATTACTCATTCATAATTATTAAATAGCCTATTATCTGATGAGCACCGCTATTCTTCAGTTTTACTAAGTATATTAGTATAATTGATTTAATTATATAGCTATATTTTGCATAAGCTTCACATCCTATATTGACAAATGAATGCAAATAAGTAATATAGAGTGAATATAATGAAGTTTCATTGTACCTATCAGTTCTCTTAGATCTCCCCCCCATCCTCCCCACAGAGGAGGTTATTGTTTGGACTGAGTAAGCCATTTCGCATAATTCAGGACATAAAACTCTACCAAGATTCTTGACTCATCTGAGAGCACCCTAAAGTTTTACCTTTCACAAATCTTGTTTTTTTGGACAGTCAATAAAACTTAACAAAAAAACAAAACAAAAAGAAACCCCACACAACCAACCAACAAGTTTAAACACACACCCACATTTACACACAGATACCCTACCTCATTTTAGGCCCATTTGTTTACAAATGAAATAGAGAAGATTTATTCTACAGCAAGTCTCACTCATGCTACTGGTTTCAAAGCACACACTACACATGCCATCACCTCCTCCTAGGCTGAACAAAGTGAATTCTTGGTTTCACAGCGGGACAGATTCTATCAATTACAAATTACTGTACAGAGTGCAGAAGTAGAATCTGCCAGTTAATTGGTTGTCTGTATCCCAGTAAATTAGTTTTTGAACAACCCTCCCAACAATGCTCTAGTGATATAATCTACTCCAATTTCTGAGATGTCTATCTTTTCCAGTTATAATTAGGGCTGGAAATTAATCACAGTTAGGGCATGTGATTAATGTAAAACATATAAACTCAATTTTAAAAAAAGTTATGATTAATCATCGTGTTAATCACACTGTGAAACAGTTATAGAATACCAATTTAAATTAAATATTTTTGGATTTTTTTCTACATTTTCAAATATACTGATTTCAATTACAGCACAGAATACAAAGTGTACAGTGCTCACTTTATATTGTTTTTATTACAAATATTTTCACTGTAAAAAAGATAAACGAAATAGTATTTTTCAATTCATCTCCTACAAATCCACTCAGGCCTACTTCTTGTTCAGCCAATCACTATGACAAACAAGTTTGTTTACATTTACAGGAAATAATGCTGCCTGATTCTCATTTACAATGTCCAGCTACAACCATGCCATGCGAACGCCTGTTCTGAAAATGAGAACAGGCGTTCGCATGGCATGGTTGTAGCTGGCGTTGCAAGGTATTTCCATGCCAGATATGCTAAACATTCATATGCCCCTTCATGCTTCGACTTGTAGGCTCTAAAATTTCACATTGTTTTGTTTTTGAGTGCAGTTATGTAAAAAAATAAATTCTACATTTGTAAGTTACACTTTCACGATAAAGAGACTGCACTACAGTACTTATATGAGGTGAATTGAAAAATACTATTTCGTTTATCTTTTTTACAGTGAAAATATTTGTAATAAAAACAATAAAAAGTGAGCACTGTACACTTTGTATTCCGTGTTGTAATTAAAATCAACATATTTGAAAATGTAGAAAAACATACAAAAGTATGTCTAATAAACTAAAATTGGTATTCTATTATTAACAGTGTGATTAAAAACTATGATTAAACACAACTATTTTTTTAATCTCGCCATTAATTGCAATTATTTTTTTAATTATTTGACAACCCTTATGTCGTCACTAGCTGCCCTTCTATTGGTCGTTCCAACAGTGTTTCACTTTTGTAACTCAGTAGATCAGTCTTTTCGAGTCCAGAGCTATGACTTATATGGGTTTATGAAATGACAGCACACCTGAGAGAAAAAGCATAAAGGGCCAGAAAAGTTTAGAGTCATGATTGGCTTTGCTGCCTTCAAGTTGTAACATAAGAAAAGACCTAACCAGCAGTTACAATTTTGCATACTGAGAATATCCTCTCTCTCAAAAACAAATGAGCAAACAAGCTACAGTTTTACCAGAAATTAAGAACATTTCAAAGAAGGTACAGTTAAACTGCTTAGCCAAGCCTCTGGCGATGAACTTGCCTACTTAAGTCCCAGGCAGACTGCAAAGAGCTACAAAAGGATTTCTCAAAACTGGGTGACTGGGCAAACAAAATGGCAGATGAAAGTCAATGTGGATAAATGCAAAGTAATGCACACTGGAATACATAATCCCAACTATACATATAAAATAATGGGGTTTAAAATTAGCTGTTACCACTCAAGAAAGATCTTGGAGTCATTGTGGATAGTTCTCTGAAAACATCCACTCAAAATGCAGCGGCAGTCTAAAAAGCAAACAGAACGTTGGGAATCATTAAGAAAGGGATAGATAATAAGACAGAAAATATATTGCCTCTCTATAAATCCATGGCACACCCACATCTTGACTACTGCGTGCAGATGTGATCGCTCCATTGCAAAAAAGATATTGGAATTGGAAAAGGTTCAGAAAAGGGCAACAAAAATGATTAGGGGTATGGAACAGCTGCCTTATGACGAGAGATTAATAAGACTGGGACTTCTGAACTTGGAAAAAAGACGATAAAGGGGGGATATGATAGAGGTCAAAAAAATCATGACTGGTGTGGAGAAAGTAAATAAGGAAGTGTTATTTACTCCTTATAACACACAAACTAGGGGTCACCAAATGAAATTAATAGGCAGCAGGTTTAAAACAAAGAAAAGGAAATATTTTTCACACACCGCAGTCAACCTGTGGAATTGCTTGCCTGAGGATGTTGTGAAGGCCAAGACTATAACAGGGCTCAAAAAAGAACTAGATAAATTCAGAGAGGATAGGTCCATCAATGGCTATTAGCCAGGATGGGCAGGGATGGTATCCCTAGCCTCTGTTTTCCAGAAGCTGGGAATGGGCGACAAGGAATGGATCACTAGACGATTACCTGTTCTGTTCATTCCCTCTGGGGCACCTGACACTGGCCACTGTTGGAGGACAGGACACTGGGCTAGATGGACCTTTGGTCTGACCCAGTATGGCCGTTCTTATGTTCTTACTTTCATTCTGAGAGTTAAAATCAAGGATGGTGAATGAGATGGCACAGTGAAGCTTAGAAATCGTTGTAGGAGCTGAGGCTCTCCAGTGAGTAGAGTCCAGCAGTCTCTCTTCTGGAGTGCTCAGGAACTTCAGAGGAGGATGGAGAAAGACAGATATATCCCTTTACCAACGGACACCATATCTAGAGTACCAGTAAATGCTTTCTGCATGAAGTAGACAGATAATACTGCCATCAATGCCTGCAGGTTTTAAGTCTTCCAGCTAGTGACCAGCTAGATTTGACACATCTATTTTGCCCGTGTAACAAGCAATCATTTGTGATAGAGTTTGATGTGTACTAAAAAATAAAAAAAAAAAAAATCTGCATTTCCATAAGTCTGCTACTAATAGTGGATTTTATGTTTGTGTTCTGCTAGTCATTGTAGTATCTCATTTGGTTGGAAATAATGTTCTCACTGCAGCAAACATAAGGATGTTAGTTTCAAGAGGATACAGAAACCTTCCAGCAATCTGGGAAAGAAAACAAAGCAAACCATACAATATGCATGAATTAAGTCTATTGTCACAGCCCTTCAGAGCATAAACAAGCCAGAAGACTGGTATTAATACACCTTAACTCCATCA